CCCCCCGCACCCCCGCCCCGAGCTTGTCAGGTTTAGGACATGGCCTCTTTTTGTTCACAGGAAGGATCAACCCTGCCTTCGTCTCTGGAGTGGTCCAAGATGGCGGCCCCCAGGTGGCCGGCGGTCGGGATACTGGATGTCAGCTGGTCTGGGCGTGCGAACACTTTTCCCTGACTTCTCCACAGGGTTATCTCTAGGATTTATATTTCTCTCCAGACATTGATGTACAGCTGAAAGATTCAAGTTTAATTTCCCAGGCTATTTAAAGCAAGAACAGAATCATTTCCTCATACCTGCGCCTACCTGGTTTTACCAATTTAGAAACACAATGACCTCAAGCTACTTCTGCACTTTTCCCTCAAAGTTCACACAGTGGGCGGAGGCGCAAACTCCAAACACAGGTGTTTACCCTTAATGCTATGCCCAGGCTCCTTGCAAACGGGGGTTGGGGGGGTTGGGGGAGTGGGGGAAGGGCCTGTCCCATCCATCCACCAGACACGACATGTGTGCATTCAAATCACCTGCATTCGGTAAACCTTCTGGGCCCTAGGCTCCACCTGTGACCCCGAGGCACTGAGGCTGGGTGTATGGGACAAGGAGGCCACGCAATAGGACTATGCTTGAGCTCGGAGACTTCAAGGAAGCTGCTGGGCCTACCTTGTCTCTAGCTAGATCCTGGGGTGGGGCCAACCTGAGCCCTGTGCGGGGGCCCAGATCCATGTCATTTGTAACCTAATCGTGAGCATGTAGGATTTCAGCCTGTTGGCCTCTCTGTGCTCACATGAATATTTTAAGGCTCAGAACTGAAGTAGGGCACCCGGCCCTGGGTGGAGCCGGGTGGGGGTGGTGCACGCAGCCCGGCCCTGGCCCTGCTGCTCCGGCCCTCTGGGGCGCCCCCACTGCGCCAAGCACCTTGGCTTCCTGGGCCCAAGGTGCTTCAGTGCGGAAGGACAGGGCTCCCTGCATCCAGAGGGAGGAGCCCCTGGGAGGCCCCAGGTTCCGGTTAGGACCTTAAGTGCCTGCTTTGGACAAGTGGTTTCATCTTCTGGTGAAGGTCAGCCTTCTCGCCTGGGAGAGGCGGCGCTAATTACACTCACCTCACTGAGGTCACGAATGGTAATGGGTTGGGCACAGGGCTCGTCCATCCATGTGCTTGACAAGTGGTCCCTCCCTCTGGGCTCTTGGAAGAGGCCTTGCAGCTGGAGTTGGGGGCAGGGCTGGGGCCCATAGGTGGACCCCTTTGTACCCTGGTGGAGGGCCCTGGTCTGCCCGGTGGCCCTGAAGATCCCCTCAGGCCAGACCAAAGGAACCAGCCTGCAGGGACGGCAGGGACTTCCCAACCTCCCCTCTCCCCTCCCCCTCTCTCCTGAGCCCTGTCACCAGGCCCTCTGTGTCTGCTCTCAGAATTCAGCGTCACTCAGAGAGCTTCTGGAAATGTTTTCCTTCTGTCCTGGAAGAAAAGCTCTGGTATGGAAGAACACCCCCTCCCCAGTACCCGTAACGGCCACAGTGGATTCCTCGCCAAGCCTGGGGTGGAAGTGGTTCCACCCAAATGTTGACACTCTGGTGATCAGAATGTACATTCCAGTTTGAATTCTTTTCTTACACAACACTGCTTTCCCAGGCTGTGCTGCTACAAGTGTGCGCGCTCTCATTATCAAGTGCCAGCCGCTGGCAGGGGCGCTGGGTCGCGCAGCACTCCTGCCCCCGCAATCCAGGGGCTCCTGCCTGCTGGGCACTGTGGCAGAGAACAAGCTGCGCAAAGTCCCCCATCTCCTGGAGATCCCAGTCTGGGGGGCATGGGGAAGAGACAGCGCACAATAAACAAACACGGAGGACGGGACCGAGAGAGGGTGGCGGTAGGCTAGGCAGTGTTGCTATGCTCCATGGGAGCCAGGGCCAGGCATGGCTGTTTGCTCACTATCCAGTGGAGAACGAAAGGGGAGCCACACAAGCTCAGGGGGCTGCTTGGCAGGCCTGGCAAGCTCGAGGACCAAAGGGAGGGTCTGAGCACAAATTCCCACCTGGGCGGACCATGGCAGGGAGTCGCATCCGGGCCTCAAGCTTCCTTAGCAAAGTTCATCTTTATCCTAGGTGAGCGCTGTCTGTTGTTTTTATTCGTCTAGGGTAGCACACCATTGAATTGTCTGAGTAACTTTCTTTTCCTGACCCCTCAGGGCACAAGCACCTGCACAGGAGCACAGACCCCAAGAGCTGGAGACCAGGGACTCCTCATTGTTAACTTGTTGTCCGCATACTTTCTGTAAATGCTGTTAATGTTAACTGCCCTGTACCCACCAATGGGAAAGAAGGATATCTCTCCCTTTTGCCCAATCCTAGAGATTTCCTTGCTTTACTTTCTCCCACCTCCTCAATCTACCACCCCTGGATTTCATATACCTCCTTACATCTTCTTTGATTTGAATGTGTAAAATGAGCGGCAAAACTACCATTCTCCAGAGCATTTCCTCAATCTGTTGAGACCTTGCTTCAGGTACGTCCTTAAAAATTTGACTCAAATAAATTGTTAAGTTTTCTATTGGTTTGGACATTCTTTCCTGGGCATAGTGCTGCCAAGCCCTATGGCTGGCACTCAAGAGATGTGTAGAAAATGAATCCTTCCTACCAACTTCAACTTGGCCACGTTTAACTTCGTCTGACACAGCAACGCATGAGCCCAGTCTTTATGGATGCTTCCAGCCTTCTCCAATTAGAGATAACGTGGCATGGGCAGTTTTCTGCATGGGGCTTTTTGCTTCTGATGATGGCTTCTTTTCTTGGCAGAAAATCTTGGGAATGGGGTTGGCAGCTTGAGTCCTAAGCATATTTATGGCTGAGTTTCTCCTTTTGGAAAAACAGTATGTGTCTGGCACTCTTCCTGAGCACCTACTGTGTTCCAGGCCTTGCCTTCATTACACATCCTCGCAGATGACTGCGGCAAGTTGGTACAATCGTGCTCAGGGCAGAGGTAAACAGCAGGAGGCTCCTGCCTGCCTGGTAAATGCCTTTCCAGCCTCTCAAAGCCCTGTTCAAACACCCCCTGGGGAGGCCCCTCCCACTTCCACAGGGGGAATCAGTCTTTTTTCATGTAAAGTCTATTATTTTAGCATTACTATATGCCAAGCTCCTTGGGCCTCCGTCCCAGCCTTGGTGGTCTCGCCGCAGCCCCAGGGGCGGGCTCTGACTGCAGTCGGGCTGTAGAAGAGGGTAGGTTAGCGGCCCTTTGGAAGCCATGCTCTTCACACAACGGAGCCAGGGTGCCCGCTTTGCCCATCCCTTAGCGGAGGACTTTGGCCAAGGCACGCAGCCTCTGTGTCTACACATCTATTAAATGAAAGCAATAACGCGATAAAACGTTTCCAACATCTTTAATGAGGTAACCTCTTACTCCCACGGGGAATTGCAGTCCCATAAAGGCGCCTGTGGTTTCTAAGAGCCCAAACCAGCAGACACCAGAACAAGTTATTCCAAATGAGAGGCCCAACCCTTCCTTCTAGTGCCCCTTCCTCCTGGCCAGATTGCTGGCATTCCTCTGACATGACCAGGCTGGTGCCAGGGTGCCCTGCAGGGGCAGGCAATGGACAGGCCCCACCTCCCTGCTGTGGGCTGGTATTTTTAGACAAAGTCCTCGGCTACCTTATCTAAATGGCCAGACTGGAGACCTTGATTTCTCAGCTTTTCAAACATCCAATGGGGCTTCCACCCCACCTTCCTCCTAAACGCCTGGGCCGCTGGGCCTGTGTCCAGTGCAACGTCCAGGTCCAGCTCCACAGCTCTCTAGTCAGAAGTCCCCTTTCGTTACAATCCTTTTGTTCAATGAAGGCCATTTTTCTTGTAGCAAGTTCAGCCAAGTACACACTATATAAACAGAGGTTTTTTGCTGGAGCCGACTGGGAAATTCCTGCATTTCCTGTGTACCAGGCACTGAATTTTCTATGCAGTCAGGGAACCTCTTGCCTAGCTCACGTCCCGTAAAATAGAATCTGTAATTTTCATATTTATCTGTACCCAACTTTACTTCCAGAAATGACTGGGATGGCCGAGTCGAAGAGTGAGGGACACGGGGCGGTTTGTGGCAGCCAGGCACCAGGGCTCTCGCTCCCCACCACGGGCAAAGGTGCGTTAGTCACGGTCACGCGGCTGCTTCCTGCGCGGGGGCGGGCGGGGCGGCGTCCACAAAGCCAGCAGCCCCGTGGCACTCACCTTTGCCCGAGGTTCCAGGAGGCTGACACGGCCTCGCTGCGGGATGACACCCCGCCCGCCCCGAGCATCCAGGCCAGGGTGTCCTCAGCACCACGGATAGGGAAACTGAGGCTGCAGGAGGCCACGGAGGGCTGGCCCAGCTGTGCGGCCTGGAACCAGTCTCCTCTTCCCCCTTTCGGGCCTCAGTTTCTAACCCGCTGACAATCATTCCTCTGGCTTTGGCTTTTAAGGGGCTTGGCCGCGCCTGGTACAGGGCCGATCGGGCGCAGGGAAACGGTTTAAAATCACCCCCACGGAACTGCAGCCTCGTGCCTCGTCCCAAGGTCATGAGGAAAGAGCAGCCAGCCCCCCGGCATCAGCTTTCTGCCTGTCCCCGGCCAGGCCCCGGCCTCTAACATCCTGAGGGTCCGAGGGATCCAAGGAAAGTTTCGGCCCCCAAAGCCAAGCCCGGAGTCCGTCCCATCAGGCTCAAAGGCCGACCCAGCTCAGACCCCCGCTCCCACTCCACCCCTCTCTTCCGGAGCTCCCAGTGACTTGCTCGCTCGCTCAGTCCGCAAGACCCCCGCTGCCTGCTCGACGCCCCGCCCCCCCGCGCCGGGCTTGTTCCCCGAGGCTACAGAGCCCAGAGCCGCAGCCAATGGGAAGGCGGCGTGGTGAGGGCGGAGGCGGTTGTGACGCGCCGGGCCGGGGGGCGGCAGCCAATCAACGGCGAGCTCGAGGGCGGGCAGTGACGCGGGTGGCGCTCCTCGTGCGGCGGCGGCTGTATACCAGCAAGCGCCTCGGCCAGCACCGCCAGCCGAGAGCCGCCGCCGCCGCCGCCGCTACAAGCTGGTAGCGGTTTCTGCGTCGCCACCGCCGCCGTCGACCGGTGCCTGCCCGGCGCGCCCCTGACCGCCGCTCCCCACAACCGGCTAGTCAGCGCGCCGCAGAGCGGCCTCTGTGTCGGCCTCCGTGAGGGGGTCCCTCGGCCGTACCCTGAGCCTTGCTTTCTCGTGCTTCGGCCGCCCGCGTCTCCTCTGCCGCCTGCCTGACATGAAAACCAAGTTCTGCAACGGGGGCGAGGCCGAGCCCTCGCCGCTCGGGCTGCTGCTGAGCTGTGGCAGCGGCAGCGCGACCCCGGCGCCCGGCGTGGGGCAGCAGCGCGACGCCGCCAGCGACCTCGAGCCCAAGCAGCTGAGCGGCCGGCAACCTCCGCTCGCGCTGCCCGCGCCGCCGCCCCCGCCGCTGCCGCTGCTCCCGCCTCCGACGACGACGCCGCCGCCTGCAGACGAGCAACCCGAGCCCCGGACGCGGCGCAGGGCCTATCTGTGGTGCAAGGAGTTCCTGCCCGGCGCCTGGCGGGGCCTTCGAGAGGACCAGTTTCACATCAGTGTCATCAGGTCGGTGGCGGGGCGGGCGGGGTGGACGTGGCCAGCCGCTAGCGGGTCAGGTGACGCTGGCCGGGAAGGGGCGCGGGGGCCGGCGGAAAAAAGCCACCTTTCCCGAACGCTTGTGAAATCCAAGCCAAATCTCGCGAAACAGGCCTGCGACCGCCCAAGACCTTCCAAAAGGCAGGCTTTTCGGTTTCGTGGGAAAGCAGGTCTTTCCAAGGAGAACAATACCGTTCGATCACAAAGTACATTTTGTGCAGCAGCTTCTGTCTAGAAAGTCCCTTTGCGGTTTTGGACTTTAAACGAAGGAGTGATGTTATGGCTGGCTTTAAAAAAATCACGTGATAACTTACATTTCTAGTTTCTCGAGTCTGCGATTTGATTTTTTCGTCTTTGAAAGAGTCGTTTGTTAGTGGCGAAGGGGGAACATTTGCTCATTCCCCGCTAACGCTGTTCAGACATGTTAGGTGTGTTGATAGACGAAGGTAGGAGGTGTGGCTCCAAAAATACCTTGGTGTAAAGTAGAATTTTCCCCCTTTATCTTAAGGTTAAAAGTTTTTTATCACAAATTTTAATTTAACCATAAATATGTGTGTACATATTCACACTTAACAGGAAAACATAAAGACTCCCTTGATTATTATTACCTCCGCCCTGTTCCCATGAGATGGCCATTTAGCGTTTAGTGTGCGTCTTTCCATGTAGACCTGTGAAACTGTGTTGTGTTTTTCTGCGAGTTTTATTAGTATTTAAAAAATGTTTTATTTATTGACTTTTTTTTTTTTTTTTTTTTTAAGAGAGAGAACCATCGTTTTGTTGTTCCCCTTATTGATGCGTTCATTGGTTGATTTCGTACGTGCCCTGACCCGGGATTGAACCTGCAACCTCGGTGTATGGAGAGGGCACTCTAACTAACTAGCCCACCTGGCCAGGGCCGAATTTCCTTGTAAATGGCCGACCAGGTTGAGGGCAGTATCTAGCAACTGGCTGGCTGGCTGGCTGCCACTGATAATCCCCAAACCCAGTTTTAGTCATTTGATTCCTGTTCTGTGCCGGCCTTTCTCCACTGCAGCAAATGCAGCAAGATTAACTGAGCTTCACTGCCTTTTTGTGCCCCTCGCCTCTCCTGCCCGATATGCCAGTGAGCTGCGAGTCAAGAGGCAGTTGGTGGGAAGCAGAGAAAACAAAACCAAAGGTGGTTAGGTGGTCCCTGAATTGTTTTTCATTTCAGTTTCTATTTATTGCTGATATGTAGGGAAGCGATTGACCTTTTTTCAATTGATTTTTCCGGGGGAGGGGGAGAGAGAAATGTCGCTCTGTTCCACTTATTTGTGCATTCATTAGTTGTTTTTCACTTGTGCCCTGATCAGTGATGGAACCCGAAACCTTGATGTATCCAGGACAACGCTCTAACAAGTGAGCTAGTTGGTCAGGGTGAAAGCGATTGACTTTTATGTAGTAAATCCTGTATCCTGTAACCTTGCTGTAATTGTTGATTAGTTCCCAAGGAGTTTTTTGTTTTCCCAAGTTTGGTCTCCTGGTTCGCCCAGCTCTGGCGCTGATGCCCATGCTCTCCTTCCTGTTCCTCCGCAATCTCACCGTCGTCCTTCGGCTGGCGGGGAGTCTGGTGCTGCCCTAGCCCAGCCCTGTCTGCAGCTTGCCTGGAGTCTGTTTTGCATCCACAATGAGATTGTAGTCTCTAGGTCTTTCACAACATGTCTACACATTGCACTGTGCCTGGTATTCCGTTTGAGTATCATAGTAGCCAGCAGCTAATGATGAAGCCTTTAATGATAAAGGTGAGGTCTGGCTCAGCCAAGGGTGAGTTGGTTGGGCGTCATCCCACAGAGTGAAAGGTCACTGGTTCCATTCCCAGTCAGGGCACATGCCTGGGTTACGGGTTTGGTTCCCTGTTGGGGTGTGTGTAGGAGGCAACCAATTGATGTTTCTCTCTCACATGGCTGTTTCCCTCTCTCTCTTTCTCTCCCCCTTCCCTCTCTCTGAAAATAAATAAATTAAATTAAAAAAGAAAAAGCAAGGAAAGGTCTGGGAGGTCTGTGTGGGGGCTGAAAGGGGTGTGCAGCACTTTGTGGCAAAAGCAGGGGCACCCCGAACCCTGAAAAGTGAGGGATCTTTCAGGTGGGAGGCGTAGGCAGCAGCGTGCTATCTTCCAAGGATACTAAGAATGGTTGCTTGAAACGGGTATTTTAGGAACACTTTCTGAGGACATTTGATAATGTCAGGGCAGTTTTCTTTGTCATGATTTGGTGGCAGTGGTACTGTTATCTAGCAGGTATGGAACAGGCATACTACTAAGCATCGTCCATTGCACAGGACAGCCCCTCCTTTCCTCCAACAAAGAACTGTTGGGCCTCAAATGTCGATAGCGCTGAGGTTGAACAGCCCTGGAGTAGAGGACTGAAGGTTGAGCTTTACTCTTTCATCCATCTGGCGTTCTCTTAAAGATTAACCTTTGCTGCCCCGACTGGTGTTGCTCAGTTGGTTGAGTGTTGTCCAGTTCTCTGAAAACTGAAAAGCAGCCAGTTCGATTCCCTGTCAGGCCACAGGCCTGGGTTGCAGGCCAGGTCCCCAGTTGGGGGTGTGCGACAGGCAACTGAGAGCAAGGTTTGTCTCTCACATCGTATTTTTCTCTCATGCTCTTCCTCTCTTCCCGTCTCTCAAAAATGAAGAAAATCCTTTAAAAATACATCAACCTTTGTTTTGCGATTGGTGCTAGTAATGAACAGCTGACATTATCTCCTGCAGTCTTCAGATGCACCCCTGTTGGGTGCATTATGTTACAGGGAGAAAACAGGCTTAGATTAGAGGCTCTGAGTAACTTGCTCAAGGCCCTGCAGCTGTCTGCAGAGCCCACAAAGGCCTGTTCTTTGAACCTGATTGCTACATGTAGATACTGTCATTTTATTGAAGTATTTTTTTATATCAGCTGAGCTGTGGTTGTTTCAAGTTGAGTTTTAGATGATTTTAAGAAATTTTCCAAAAGTCTTTTTTGTTTCTCTTTTCATTTGCATTCTGAAGTCAGTAGCTGTTTTGGTATTATGCTGCCTTCTATTTTCTATATACCCAGTCCTTTGGACTTGAGGATTTGTTTGTTTGTTTGTTTGTTTGTTTTTCCCCCCTTGCTGAGTTACTGTTTATTTTGTGAATTTTGTTTTCTTTCTCTAGTCATTTTGACTTTTAGATGATGCTCTTGAAACTCCTGAGCCCTAAGCTTTCGGGGGACTTGGCCCTTTGTGTGCCAGACTTGATGTTGTGTTACTTGTGGACAGTTTGCAGTGGTTTTGGTGCCTTTTTTTGTTTTTCAGCAAAATGTAGCTGGTTAGATGCAGACCAGATAACTTAGCAGATGAAAATCTTTGTGTTAAAAGTTTCTCTGGAGCAGGTGGTTTCTTGGATTTATCATTGAGCATTGATTAAATGCTCATTTATTGATTTAATTATCATTGATTTAATCACCAAATGATTAAAAATAAATAGATGAATGAATGGATAAGCAAATGGGACATTAAGATACAATGGAATATTATTCAGCCTTAGAAAAAAGATATTCTGACATCTGCTACAACATGGCTAAACCTTCAGGACATTATGCTAAGTAAAATAAATCAGACAGGACAAAAACTATATTGACTTCTGTGAGATCCCTAGAGTAGTCAAATTCATAGAAACAAAGTAGACTGGTGATTGCTAAGGGCTGGGAGAGGGGAGAAGGGGAATTAGGGTTTAAGGAGTACAGCATTTTAGTTTTTTAAGATAAAGAATTATGGAGATGGATGGTAGTGATAGTTGCACAAAAAAATATGAATGTACTTAATGCCACCAAACTGTACAGTTAAAAATGGTCAGGATGGTAAATTTATGTTATGGGTATTTCACCACAATTAAAAATTGGAAAAAATATAGAAATGTCATATTTCAGGACTATGGACTCTCCACTTTTGTATCACTGTAGCATGGATTTTACTTACTTAGAATGCTGTAAAAATTAAGCAGAAATTACGTAACTTCTGTAACACCTGCTAGATCTACAAATGAAGGATACAAACCATTTGTAAAGCTATTTAAATTCATGTTGCTAAAATAAAAGTTATATGACACAGTAAACCACTGTCTAGTAAAGTGATTTTACTCCACAGCTTTAAAAGTGTTTTCTGTGAGATAAAGAGTGGCAAACATTGAAGCCAGTCCTAGATGTAAATATATACACCAGCTCAGAGGTGCTCTTCTGTACATTTGCTTTATAACTTACAGTTAAAACTTGTTCTTTAGCAGAATTCCCAACTCCTTTCTATCACAGACTGCATACTTGGTGCCTAGAATCTGATACTCACAGACACTTAGGATGTCCTGTGTGTGCCAGCTCCCCGAGGCTGATGGGTTAAAGTGGGTCACATGACACAGCTGGGCTAAATCACATCTGCTAGACTTTTGGGCTTTTTCTTGTGGCTGAGGTTTCGATGACATCATCAACTCAGATTTGACTTCCTTTTGCATATGGAGTATTTTTACAGTCTTTGTGAACTTTTCAGAGCAGCCAAAGTTGAATAGCCTTGAGAGCCAACACCCAATGGTAGTGTTCAGTGTTTTTGGTTAGGTGGGTGAGTGATCAGTCTCGAGGGGTTTGTAAAGTGGCCTTTGTTTCCTTTGTATGTGCCATGCGAACCAAAATGACATCTCGCCCCTGTGGCTTTATGGCTGGTGAGGAAGGGACGAGTTTCAGGACTGGGCTGTGTGGTGTTCCATCCTGAAGGACTGAACCTTAGAATGAGTGGAAGTGGGAGGATCTTTTTTTACAGCCACTGCCACCTGCCTTTGCTTCCTCACATTGCATGTGGATTTTTTCTGGTTGCCTCTTTCAGGGGGTAGCAGCACTCCTGCCACCTCTGGCCTCCCCGGGGAGGTCCAGCTGAGCCTTTTGGTGAACTGATAGGCCTCTGCGGGGAAGGGCATTCGCCCCAGAGTGGGCGAATGTGAAACAGGGAGATTTTCAAAGGGAATATGAAATGAAGGTATGATTTTCATTTTATTTGATATTTTGCTTCCGTGAGCGTCTTGTGCCTCCTAAATTTAATTAGGACACGTATGATTACTAAAAGCTGTTCTGCCAGATGATAAGGTCTGTAGTTTCAAACGTCTTTGAAATCCTGAAGAGTCCCTGGGCTTTTACTTGGGTGAATATTCTTGACAAATTTTGCCCTGTGTTGGGCTGTTGGATTTTTGCTACCATTTCTGTGGCATATTTTCCCAACATATCTCACAGTTTCTAGTCATATTATTTGGCCCACTGGTAACTGGCTTATTTTTGGATAGTGTCTCAAAGTTTGGGTCATCCATGACTGTGACCTTTTTTTCTGATTGTCACTAAAACACAGTCGATGGTTTACTCCCTCCCACTAAAGCCTGTTGAGCAACAGAGGGCACAGATCGTGCAAGAGGTGAAGGATTTCCAGGTTGCGGGCTGGTTTCCGGCCGAGTGTGGCCCGGCTCCCTTCCATCTGCAGGAGCACGGGGACAAACTGAATGGAGTTACACAACCTAGAACAGTGGTTCATCTGTTTGCTCTCCCTGTTGACTGAGCTTTTGAGAGGATGTGACAAGAAGGAGAACGAAGGTCTTTAACTAATGCCTGTCCTGTTGCTTGGGAGCCAGAAGCCCTTGCCGGCTGTGACGGGACAACCCTTGTTAGCAGGGCAACCCTGATAAGCTACGCACAGGAGGCGCTGCCGCCAGCTGAAAAGAAAGGTGAAGGCTGCTTGTACCCTCTGTACTCACACCTTCCCTCTGCTTTGTGACCTGCTTGGGGCTTGGGGGGTGGGGGAGCCAGAACCTCGGGTTCCCTTGTCTTTCTGTTCCTCCTTCACTGGGGTAGACAGCGATTGGGGTAATAGTTCCTTGACTCTTGGGGAGGTGCCCAAGGTTGCGGGTTTTTTGGATCCCCAGTCACAGCACATAAAAGAAGCAACTAATGAACGCATAAATAAATGAGCAACAGATTGATGTTTCTCTCTCCCTCTCTAAAAATCAATACATTTTAAAAAATACAGTGTGTGAGCAGTGGTCTCCAGCATACTCAGATACATGGAGCCATCGCCACGGGCAGTTTTAGAGCATTTTCATCCTCTCAGAAACGCTGTGCCTGTTAGCCTTCTGCCGCCTTCGCCTTAGCATTCACTAGTCTGGTTTCTCTCTCTATTGACTTCCATGTTCTGGACATTTCCTATGGAGTCCACGTGGTTTTTCGTGACTGACTGCTTTCACTTAGCATAATATTTTTAAGGATCACCCATGTTATAACATGTAACAGCGCTTCGTCCCCTTTTTTAAATGGTGGGCAAATGTATGCATAATAATGTTCACCGTTTTAACCGTTTATAAGCATACCGATGAGTGGCATTAATGTGCTCACACTGCTGGGCCACTGTCACCCCGTCCTTCTCAGCAGTGTTTCTGTCTTCCCAGACCGGACCGCTGTGCCCGTCACACGCAACTCCTCGTTTCCTTTCCTAACTCCCAGCCTTTGAAATTCATTAGCTCAGTCAGAATCTGTTTCCGGTTGTTTTGTGTGTGTTTCCTGGAGTGTGGTACACAATTCTGATGTGCAGCTCTCCTGACACCTTGACTATAGCACCGTAAAACCCGTTTTCAGGTGCTTGAACTCCAGAACTATAAGGTAATAAATGTTAAGCCTAAGTTTTTGGTCATGTATTGCAGTAGCTATAGGAAATGAAGGCATTTGTTCTGTGCAAGTTTGTACAGACTAGTGTTTACGTAAGACTCTTGGCGCCCACGGCATCTGCTGCCGTGCTTAGCGTGGCACGTGGTGCTCTCCTGCCTTCTCTCCTGTATCTCGTGGCATCAGAGTTAAAAGCAAGGACCCTGGAGCCAGACGCCAGCATTTGAATCCTGACCGAGCCTCCTCCTTCCTTGCTGTGGGCCTCACCTCCCTTATCTATAAAATGGAGGCAGTGCCAGCTTCCACCTGTAGCGTTGCTGGGAGGATGAAAAGAGTTTTAATCCTTGTCAAATACTTACAGCACCGCAGCACAGGGGCTCCATGGCTCTACGCTCTTACCGTGACTAATGAAGTCCTGCTCCTTTGCAGAGGAGAGAATTGGGGGGTCAGAGAGGTTTGGCGACATGCCCAAAATTGCACAGCTCGTAAGTGGCAGAAGTAGGATTTGAATCCCAGGCGCCCTGGCTCTGAAGCCTGTGGTCTTTCTCTTAGCATGATGCCTTCCCCAGGAAGATGGGACTGCCCCTTATGGAGCCAAGACTAATCCACCAAACCTGTAGAGGACAATGTGACAGTTATCAAACATAACAGGGAGTCGTTTGGAGCAGAGACACTTAATGGGACAAGAGCTCTGCCCTTTACTGTCATTTTTGGAAAGTCTTCATTGAGCATCCACAATGGTAGTTTGGGAGCTCCTGGGCCTTGAGAATTGAAGTTAAACATTACCCCGGCCTTCAAGGAGCTAGCAGGTAAGATGGCAGAGGCTTCTTGTGGAGGTTGGACTTTGAACTTGGCCTTAAATAGTAGGAAGTTTCTAGATAGCAGAAAAGGAGGAGTTTCCAGATTGGAAGAACACGAGTATGTGGGTATGATAAGCTTTATCAGTTAAAGCAAACTGGGTTTGAGCTGCTTATAACAGAACACTCCAGAGTAACGGTGGGTTAAACAACATAGAAACATATCTCCGCCTGTGTTGGGGTGCAGAAGTGGGCAGGCCAGGCCGGTATGTGAATTCCCCAGGCTTGACGGGGATGCAGGCTCTTCAGCCAACTGCTCTGTCACTCCTAGGAGGTGGCCCTTATTCTCATAATCTAAGAACCTGCTAAAGCTCTGGCCATATGTGCCAGTCGGAACCCTGGCAAGAACATGGGAACAACACTAGGTACTTCAACATAGAGAATTTAATGTGAGGAATTGGGTGGACAGGTGTTGGGGGAACCGAAAAGGCAGAAGTCGTTAAAATAGTAACGGCAAGAAGCAGCCCCACTCTTGGGCCTCAGAGAACAAAGGGAAGAAGTTGGAATTACAGAACCTGGAAGCTCCCAGGAGGGCTGGACCCCACAGAATTGGGACCTAGCCTCCCAGGAGAGGGCACTGCTTGGCTGCTGCTGGCATCTCAGCCTGAGGGGCGTCCCTGCAGAGCAGGAGCCCAGACCTCTGGGCTGGGACCTCTGGGAGGGTCCCTGAGGCTGGTTCTGGGAGTGCCACTAGCAGTGGGCACTGGGGCTGCCTCCGCGGTGCAAATAGGAGCAGGAAGCAGCACACCTCCTCCCTCCCCCTGCCGTCCAGCGCTGCCCCAAGCCCCAGAGGTCCTCTGTCTGCACCCAGTGAGGATCAGTTGGTCAAGGTGATCTGGAGCTGGTGGGGTCCCAGCCCAGCATCGCAGCTGTAGAAAACACAGGTGGGTTTGGAGCTCAGAGAGAGACAAGAACTCAGCAGTCAGTGCACCGTCCTCTCCTTGCTTCAGACTGCAGGGTGGAGGATGGGGAGAGAGGGGCAAAGTGGAAGCATGTCTTAAGTTGATTTCCCAGAAGTCACACCAGTGCAACCTTCACGTTTCATTTGCCAGCACTTGGTTGCAGGGCCCACTTAGCTGTGAAGGCAGCTGCTGAGTAGGGTCTTGACGCCGGGCACTTAAGCAGCATGAACGGAACCTGGGCTCTGCCTTGGAGCGGAGGGGAATGTCTGCCACGGGAACGCACTATCAGGGTGGTTGTGCTGGCATTGATGTATTAGCATCAACAACCTCCAGATAAAAAATTCCTCCCTATTATCTTTCTTCCCCACACAGGTTGAACTGTTCCTCTTTGTATTTCTTGGCAGCCTCATCGGCGTTTGCTCACATCCCCGTGTAACTGGGCACGTGATCATGGTAGATTAGCTTCGTATTTTAGCCTCGCTTTTGGGAGCACAGCTTGGCTAGGCTGGACTGGTCGCAATTGGAACAAGGAAAGAGGCTGCCTGTATTTGGGGGCGCCATTCTAGAAAGCTATGACTGATTAGTCAAAATCAATTGAGAACTTTTTACTAACAAGGGCGTGGAAGGGGTAGACCTTGGAACTGTACTTCAAGTGGAACGTTCTGGAGGAGGTAGCTTAAGTACTGCCCCAAGATTTTAACCTGGTAATGAGGGGAGTCTGGCATAATGGAAGTCTGGAGTCACAGAAGAATGTGGGGTGGAAGGGCTGCGTCTGGGGTTCCCTCACTCCCAGGGCTCTGGTCCCTGCCGTTCTCCAGAGGCCAAGGCTGTGGCGGGGGTTGGGGGGGGCACATGTGCAGTCAAGAAAAACTTTGCTGCAGCACAAATCTAGAAGGACAGATCCAGGGTCTGCCTGTTTGTAATGGGCCTCGTGGAGTTGACCTGAAAACTGGGCTTAGTCGTCTGCGTCGCAAGTGTCCCGAGAGAAGGAATGAAGACTTAGAACAGCACCCGTGAGATCCTATTTCTCCACCCATAGTTACCCAGGAGGAGTGACGCGGCACCCCTTCTGGATACAGATTCTCACCGCCCTCTTATTTCTTCCCAGAGGTGGCCTCAGTAACATGCTGTTCCAGTGCTCCTTACCCGACACTGTGGCCACCGTTGGTGACGAGCCTCGGAAAGTGCTCCTGCGGCTCTACGGCGCGATTTTAAAGATGGTGAGTTCCTGGGCTGCTTGGGGATGGGAGGGACCTGTTAACCGTGTTAATCCTCTTTTCTAAATTACCTGGGAAGAGATTGTGAATACTTTAGTGGTGTTATTAAAGTTATTTAAATACATTGCTTTTATTTTAATTGGGCTTTTAATTTATATTCTAAGTGAATTCCTGTTGTTATTTATTAGGAACGTAATACAAACATTCCCAGCTTTATATGCAGAGAAAGTATAATGTTGGGTAAGCCCTCAGCAGTGCTTGGCCATGCCTGAGCTCTCCACATAGCGGGGCTCGGCTTGGGGCGTGGTCGGAGCCTGGCCACAGAGGCTTCGCAGGCACCCCCAGCGGCCAGACCCCTCTTGGGGAAGCTGCTGTGTTGATTCACCGCCTCCCTTGGCGATTTCTTTAAAACTTTGAATTTGTTAGATTTATAATCTTTTGTAATTTTTATATTAAATAATTGAATCTAATTTCCAATTAAAGTACCTTATTTGTTAATTGTCTTAACCAATTATAGGATATCCCAAATGTCTGGATTTTTTTTACCTATTTTTGTACCATGGATTTACCATTTTGCTGACCACACACACAGATGTTGGGTGGATATATTTCTATGGTAGAATTTTGAGATCCAGTTAAATCTTTGAAAGTGCCCGTTTTTATCTTTTTGAAATGGAGAAGAGTTTTATGACTTCATTTTTTTAAAAACACTACTTTCAGCTCGATCTAAAAAGCAGGTCATGTCCGTGTCTATGCTAATTCAATTATGTTTAGAAATATTAAAAGTTAAGATTGGCATGCTAGATGTTATTTGAAAAATGGTCATAATTCGACTGGACCTTTTCATTGGATAATTATTCCTTAACCCTGTCAAGCTGTGAAAGTGGTTAGGATCTGAAAGAGTTGGAAACAAGCCTGCATGCTGAGGTCGGTTGTGTGCACTTTGCTGAGGAACTCGAACCATTCCGGGCCCCTGAGAAGAGACTCCGGTGAACGAGAAGGCAGGCAGAGACCAGCTAGCCAGGCGGCAGTTGCCGTGCGTTGGAAAAGCTGAGCTCTCACTGCACTGTGTCCAGGACTTTGCCATAAATTTAAATTCTTTTTCAAATATTTTCAACTCAGTGTAAAATTTTCTGATATTTTTTTGCTGGGGCGTGAGTGCAATCATAGTGCTGGCTTATCAAATCATTGAATCTGGCCTGTAAGGGAAGGAGAGCTATTTATGATCTCCAGTGACACTTTTGTACCCACAACAACAACAAAAAATTGCCAGAATTGTTAGTAACTTGTTGAGATTGGCATTAAGAGACGTGGCTGAGCAATTATGGAGCCCAAATACTAAATCATGTTACTTTCATAAATGAATTAAAAGGCAAAATTAAATATAGTACAACTCAAACATGCTTTCCTTTTTTTTCTTTTTACTCTGCCTTAGATGAAAGCACACACACTCCTCTATATGCGTTTGTACCTTTATACAGATATAACTGGTATGGTGGGTTAAAGTAAGCTCCTTCCTTGAAAAATGTTAATTGATGACTGCACTTAATATACATTTTGTCAGAATGTTTTGCCTAATTATATGTCAGACCAGGTTAGTATGTCCCTTCTTTCCCTCCTTGTTTTAAGCTTTTGAAATTTTTTTTTATCTCTGTGAGAATTGAATATTAAGTAGAAATATTTCTTTGATTCACATTTATAATCATTGACAAGTCATTTGCTTTAAATAATGAGATGTTTCTCAACTTTTTCATTTTTTTTTATTTTGGTGTTGTGAGATGTCTAACTTCCTTTATTTCCATAGTGGCAATGAAATGACTGCTCTTGGGTGCAGTTCACTAAGGGTTAAGTAGCAGAAAGCCAAGGTAATACCTTTCAGTTGGTCTGAGGCCCACCGTTTCTGTCCCACAAACATCTGTCCCTTGTTTCTATATAAGATGAGCCTTAAGCAGACTTCCTAATTGTGTCCTGGAGGTCTTACTTAGGATTTGTGTTAATTTTAAGGGTCTTATGACAAGTCCTTTGTTGGACACAGGAAACAATATAAATAAAATGAGACACAAAGCTTTGAAAAACAGCTGTACAATATTTGTAGGGAATTATTAAACAAAAATATCGGTGTGATCATAAAGCAATACATGTCAATATAATTTAGTGTCTATTTCACAGAGACTAGCTTTTATTTTAACTTGAATTTTAAAGAAGAGTATTATCTTCATTCGTTGGGTAGATGATGAAAATTGAATTCAACTATAAAATTGCCCCTAACTTAAAATCGGATGGTTTAACAGGAGTTTTTTGTTTTGTTTGGTTTGGTTTAATGGGAGTCTTGAGAAGAAGTACTAGTTAGCTTTTGCCATTGTAAGAAATGTCATTGCTAGAAGAGCTTGACATTACAAAAGTAGCTATAAATGTAACTTGATTTTTTTCCTTTCTGATACTGGGAAGGAACATGAGCTCGGCAGCGTCCAGTAGCAGCCTTTTCAAAGAAGCGAGTGTGGCTGATTACAAATAACCAGTTTGCTTATTTATCATGAATTGTGGAAGACACAAATGTCAGTACGTATTGTTCACTCAATGTAACCTGTGCCAGTTGGCGGAAGTCTCAGAGGATTGCTTTGTCCCTTCCTCTGTCAGAACAGTGACTCTGTGTTGAGCCAATCCCTTCTGTGCATGGATGGAGAGATTCGGCCTCACCGTTCTGAACGGTCTCACAGGCATGGATGTTTATAATACACATCAAAGATCTCTCTAGTGTTGTCTGCGAAAAATGTTTTTGTTTTGTTTTTTTTTGAGTACTAGAAGGCTAATATTAGTGCTTGTTTGAGTACTAACCGTAATACAATTAAAGGTGTCAAGGCACAACGCAGATATGTGTTAGTGATTCAAAAGATTATAAAATATGGTACCTGGTCATTTTTGAATGCAGGAAACAAAATGTTGTCTTCCCTGTTTCCTCTTAATCCCAGTTTAATTAAAAATTAAACCACACTAAAATACAAAACAGCCCATAGATAGTTAACAGTAGACTCTTGGCTACCGAGAAATTGATGAGAAATTGACGTGGTCTCTGAAACGGTGGTCAGTCACCCTCGCTGTGCAGACAGCGCGACTGATACCCCTGCACCTGGAGCCCAAAAGCACATGCTCCTGGAAACCGAATACTCTGAACTCTGTATTTTTTTTCCTCATTGTATTAGGGTCATATGAGTTTAAGTTGTTTTGTTTACTCTGCTTTTTAAAAAAAGCCCCCTGTACTTTGAGTGTGGTGTCATCATGCCTGTCCGTAGGCAGTCAGAACGTCCCTGTCAGAAGTCAGGCATTTTTCGAGCAGTGTATCGTCCCCACTTGGTCTCACCCAGCATGTCTTCAGTTAGTGCTCACCAAAGATAGTTGCCAAATGACAATGTGTAGTCCTTTCATACCTGCTTTGGTGCCTTCTTTTGATAACTAAATAAACCGCACATGACCGTGTCTAACTTTGACATACTCAAAGTGTCTCTGTCTTGCTGGTCTTAAATTATGTTTGAGATTTATAGCATGAAGCCAATACAGAGTTCTGGCCCCCGGAACGATGGTGTGACCACGGCCCACCCCTCTTGGGAAGGAATGTCTTTGTGTTGGGTGGCGTGAAGGGCGCGGGGGTAATGCACCACTTTAGCTGTCTGTGCATGTGTTCTCTGCTGCAGGCTTGCCCATGCGATCGTGCCTGGAGCACTCTGGTTTCCAGGTGACAGACACGATTCACGGTATAGTATGAGTCCTCTGAAGTCGGAGCATCCTCTACAGCTTTAATTTCCTCCTTTTAGTTCTGGGTTTCAAGAAATGCTTTTTAAAAAAAAAGTTGTAATGCTTTTGTTAAGTAGCACCAGCTACAGTTTGTGCTGTGTCTAAAGAGGTACAGTGATGAAGATGTCAGAATGTTATGTATTGACTATATCACTTTTTGTTTGTGGGGGGCGGGGTGGTTTAGCTTTTTTTCAAGGCAAATCAGATCCCCTTCTTCTGTTTCCTCAGTAAAAAATGACATTTAGTTATTTTAGTAATTTATGGACCTCAACTTGAGAAATCAGTTGGAGTGCTAACCTTCCTTCATACTACTTTCAGCATTAAGGAAACACCACGATGTTTTGGTCAGAGTTGGAAACAGACTTTCTTCCTTGATCAGTTTCTTTTTTGATCTTGATCAGTGCAAGTCTTTGCTGGGTCCCGATGGCTTCATCCAGTTCAGCAGTGCTGACCGGATGTGGAAGCACGTACAAGCTGGAGAGCCACAGCACTTCTCCTGGGAACATGCCATGACTGCCCAGGCGACCCACAGGCTGTTACCACCGAAAGTGCTTTCGCTTCGGGTGCCTCCTGAGTCTCGGGGCAGCGGGTCACCCGGGCTCAGATGGAGGTTTTGAGAAGTTCCTGAAAGGAGCCTGCTTTACCAAGACTTCTACTCACCTACCTTTACTTGCTTAGTCTGTAGAAGAAGTTGTAGTCTCCTGGTGACGTTCATCAAGTCATTCAGTTTTGCAAAGTTCATAAGGATCAGGTTGTTTTTAGAATATTCCTTGGGAAAACTGAAAATACTCTAGAAACTACCATAAAATATGGTAGAACTCACTTGTCTGTCATTCATTATATGAATTCTTATAATTCATATGTGCTCATTAAATAATTACATAAGCTCTATTTTAAACGATTGCACGGTCATCTCATATTTTAATGTTCTGTAAAATATTACAGGAAATGCTGTAAGAAACCATAGAAGCAGTAATTGCAGAATGTTTTCATAGGAATCCTGGAGAAGGAAGGTCAGGGTCAAGGTGACACTGAGAAGAAAACATGCTGCAGAATTGTGGTGGAAAGAGCCATGTGACCGCTGTGCCTTCCGGGAAGTCTGGCTGCTCAGGCTTTTCCACCCCAGCTCACTGGAGAGGAACAGAGTCCCATCGTTAACAGGTGCCGACCCCCTGCTGAGAACCTTTCCTCTCCTAGGGAGTGGAGTGTGGTCAGAAACCAGGGTGGGTCTTAGAAGTCTTCAGAGCTGGGGGCGGCACACGGAAGAAGCCCGCGTTTATTCCAGGACCTGTGCGTGTCACAGTTACTAAGCCCTCAGAAAAGCACAGCCCTGTTCCCCTCAGGGCAGCTGTCAGAGGCTGGGGGTGGCTCGGGACTCAGCTCACAGGGTGGTCCCAGGTCAGTGGGGAGGAGAACTTTCCCCGGACTGTGTCTTAGGTACCTGAGGAAGTTGAGTGTAGGTAGATTATTCTAGAACGTATAGATTCTTTCTTAATCACTCATTTCTGGATTCCAAATTGTTTTCAAAGGCCATGACTAACTACTCTTTCAGACAGTGATAGCCTTTGAAAGAGACAGTTCACTTAGTTCTTTTTTGGTAGGGAAGGGCTGGTGGGAAGAAGGGAATGTCCTTGTTTCTATAAAACACTCCTTTTACATCTTTTTATCTCTGTAGCCACGATTGTATTTAACAGAGTGGCTACTTCCTTATGACGTTATCTGGAACTGATGCTGATTTTTTAGGTAGCATTTCCCGTTGCACTCTCGTGACATGGCCTTCTGTGTAGCCGACTCTTAGTTTCTCCCAGCCTGTCCCACCAGCAGCTCCACCACACTGGCTGTGTCTTTAAGATACTTTGAAGATAAATGCTTCAGGCAGTACAAATGACATTGAGACAGCTGTACGCCACTTAATGCCACTCAGACTAATTTATTTATGCACACACATCCACAGACGCTGGGGAAGACCAGTTGCCCCTGTTTTGTCTCCCAAGTGTTGTAACTGTATTAAAATAGTTTAGTCATAAAGCTAGTTTCCTCCTCATTAGAGGAACTTTTATTAAGAACTGGCCAATGACAAGAGCTTATCTTGCCCAGTGACTTAAACAAATTTGAAGAAATAAACTGGTTAGATTGTGAAACAATCAAGTGGTTATTTCCTTCATCTTAGCCCCTAAAAGATGTCTTACTGGATATGGCTTTTCTTCATCTTTGCAAATCACAAAATTGAACATTTTGAAAACTAATAACCTGTACTATGAATATTTACTTTTTTTATGGTCTTCTTTTAAGTACAAAAGCCTTTACATGTGATTTTTGTCAGAAAAAGCAGCATTGGAAACCTACCAAGTATATTTATTATACAAATAACATACTTTAAACACTTTTTGAAATATGGAAGGATGTAAAGTAAAAAGCAGAAGCCCTAATTCTGTCGTTGTGTTTCCTACCAAATAGAATTTAGGAATTTAGGTTTTATTGATTGATTGATTTTAGGGAGAGAGAGAGAAACATCATCCTGCTGTTCCACCCATTTATACATCATTGATGGACTTTGTATGTGCTCTTACCTGACTGGGGATCAAACCCGCAACCTTGGCCTTATCAGGATGACACTCTAACCAGCTGAGCTATCCAGCCAGGGCTGAATTTAAGTTTTAAATTCAAAAGTTCTTGGCCAATCAAAATCTGTTTCAGTTTTTAAAGTCTTCTGTAACATTAAAGCAAAATATATAAGCCATGCTTCTTACTATTATTGCTAGCACTTTAGTCTGTATTATTTCCTATATCATAGTCTAATGAATACATGGATTATAATGAATACTTACAGGTTCCCTTGAAGACCAAAATAGGAGGAAAAGAACGAGGGAGATGGAAGGAAGCCCATGGCAGTATAACTTTAATTATCGCTGTTCAAATTTCTAATAAATGTAAAAATTTTTCAGTTTTAGAACTTATGAAAATTGATTTTTATGAGTGTACAAGTTTGGAAAAAATTTGTGGCTCGTGTTAAATATTTGTACAATATATTTTTATATCTGCTTCAGATAAGTGTTTTGCCTCTGGAGTAAAATCTCACAGGTTCCAAGGTATTTTTTACTTACTGTTTTTCCAGACCAAAACGCACTCTGACCTCTTTTTGGCAACATGAGTCTCTCCCTTCCTGGCTCGCCTCAGGAGGAGGCCTCGCCTCGCCCCCTTTCATGCGGATCTTCCTGGGGTGAGATTTCCTGGGCTCACCGACAGGATCGAGGGAACCCGAGCATTTTGTACTGAGGAAACAGAACAGGAGGTTGGCTGTGGCAGAAGTCCGTCTTGCCTTCCCGATGGTGCTCTTGTGGAATAAGCAATGCATGCGGGCGGGCGGAGTGCTGTGGGCAGGGTGGGGAGCTCTTTTCACTTCGTGGTGCCAATATGTTCAGAAGGGATGGCCTTGGGAACTAAGCCAGTTCTAACTTTGGGTATAGTGACTTGCTTTTGAGAGCACCATTTTAGACAAGGAAAAGGGACTTCTGTTGGCTTAATAACCCTTCAACTGTATCTCCCTAAGAAGATACAGTTAGAATAATAACAGCATAGGGATAACCATAGTCATTTAGAATTCTGTACAGGTCAAATCCCGTTAACAACAAACTTCAGAGGATATCCCAATGCCTTATTTGTCTCAAAGTCTTCCCTACAGAGTATCAATATGCAATATATCAGATGATAGAACTTCTTTTGTGTTTAACTTTCCGTGCAGAGAAAAAGCGCAAGGATATGTTTTGGAGGCATTTCAGCCCCATTCAGTGCTCCAATTAACAACACTGTAGCCAGTTTTCCCGCTGTTGGGATCGTGGATGTGAGTTTGCCGTAATGGGTCTGCTCTACCACCCTAAGTTGCACCTTGAGCTGGCTGCCTTGAACTTCACAATGCTGGAGTGTTCATTTATTCATGTCATCCAAAAAGTGTTTAAGCACCAGGATTTGCTTGGTGCTTTTGGGAAAGACAGAGATAAAAAATGGAGTCCATATTGATAAGTAACTTACAGGCCACTAAGACAAGGAGACCAACTGCAACGTAACAGTGCGGCCATGAGAGTGTTTTAGAATTAAGGGAGGAGTAAAGCTTTCATGATAAGTAATTACTCCCCCTAGGGGTTTATCACATTGTACACCAGCCCGTCAACAAAGATCTGAAAGTACTTCTGTGGTACTCATTTTTGTAGCTCTCATTGTAACGGGATTTAACCTGTGCCATCTTTCATCAGAGAGATGCAGATTACACAAATGAAAATGTTATATATGTTATATGCCCCATTTGTATTCTCTATACTTTGTACAAAATGTATTTAACTGTATGGTAAAGATGCTATTGAGTATATATGTAAGTGCAAGTCTTTGCAGATAGCTTCATGAACATGAATATTAATTTTGTTTACTTTTATATTGAGTAAGCTAGAACACATACTCTTTTATGCAGAATGCATTAAACTGTCTGGGGAATGTTATTTCCATGTGTGATGGATGAGAGTGTTGCTTTACAACGCTAGGTGTTTTTGAACGGTGCTAGAGTAGCTGGTGTTGCTTAACGTGGCATTTTTTTCCCTGTCCACACTTTCCACCCTTGGTACAGGTGTTTTTGATAAAGCTGTGGAATGTAAAGGTATGTCTTTCATGGGGTGTTCAAGAACCTTTTACCTTAACATTTTTAAAGAGCTTCCTTTATGGGCTTCCTTCTGTGTCTGACATAAGCAGACTTTAGTTTAATTTTAACAACATATTTCTAGAGGCAACATTTGACATAAAATTTTGACATGACACTTAAGTTTCTGACTTGTTTTCCCCATCCTCTGATTAAAAGATAGCATGAAGGTTTTTAAAGGCTTGGGGTGGGGGTTGCTCTCAGAAGACAGGGTCTGTGCTGGGAAGGAAGAATGTAAGCCAGAGGGTCGCAGATGGTAGTTGCTCTCATCGCTAGATCCTGGTTACCAGTAATTGGCAATTTCATTGAGGAAAGTGATGTAAAGGTATCCCTTCATACGTTAATATGTGAAATAAGTTTAGGGACTTACTAAATTTGCACAAACCTCTTTTTGTTGGCGGACAGATCATATTGAGTGGAATGAGCCGAGTTAGTGTGACAGTGGCCAGTTGGCAGGCTCGTCTGCACAGATTCCGTGCCCAGTCGCCTGCCTGCTCAGGGCTGGCTTCTCCGTCCGAGGTCTGTGCTGAGCACCTTTGCTGCTGGCAGGTGTACTCTCCCTGTTCTGGCCGGAGGAGAGCCTTCCTCGGCATAGAGACCCGCCTGGCTCAATCGCTGGCACTCAGCTTGACTGTCTGTAGATGGCCTGATTGGAAGAGCGCCCTCTGTTGACTTTCCTCAAACAATGAAATTGTGAGATGGTACACCAGAGTGGTTGTGAGTCGCAGCTGTTTGGTCTCAACGGCACGTCCCCTTTCCTGTAAAGAAACGAAGCGATTCCTCGGGTGTTGGTACTAGTGCTGGACACTGGTGGTGCATATGAGACATCAGTGGGCTGAGAAACGCTCATTAAAAATCTGTGACGTTTTGTTAACCCTGGCTGTTCTGGTGGTTGCAAAGTTAGTGTCTGCTCAGTGTTCCCCATCTCACCGGAAGTGTTTGCTTTTTCTCATTCATAGAGGTCCTGTAATAAAGAGGGATCCGAACAAGCTCAGAATGAAAATGAATTTCAAGTAAGTAATGAAGTCCGCTCTGCGTCTGTGTTGTGAGGTGTAACCATGTTAGCCGGCCTTGGCCACTGTGGCGGGGCGGCTCCTGGAGAGCCCTGCTCTGTGTGTCTGCCTGAGAGGTGGGCTCTCAGCCTGTGGGAGTGACCGCAGTAAGGCTGAGAGGGCAGTGGGTGCCCCCGATTGCTACTGCGGGTGTCGGTGGTGCACGTTTGGTGTCTTCACGGAAACCTGAAGGGCGTTTGGGGTGCTACGAGATGGCAGTTTGAGGTGACACGTGGCATGATAGTCTCGTATGGAGGCAGCCTGGGTCTCACTGCTGCATTGCGTCTGTCACTGCCCAGGTGTCTCATGGCCACTCTCCCGGGGGGGCAGGCGTGTTTTTCCTCATGCCAGGTGGGAAAGGTGAATCCCTCAGTCACAAGAGCTGAGTTAGACTGATCCCACTCTCTGAAATGTGCATATTTAGAAGAGCTTGAGGTCAAGAGTACTGAGGTGTCACCCAGTCCCCTCTTTGAGGCTGGGAAGAGGGGAGTCCGGAGCAGTTATCTCCCCTATCCAGGGAGGAAACGGCTTTTGAGCGTACTCTCCCAGTATGTGCGAGTCGGGATAGAAGGGGGGATGTGTTTCTGTGTGTACACACAGAAATAAACTGGTTTTACTAATTACTAATTGTGTGCTAGCTATTAAAGTAATCAAGACATAGACATTAAAAAGAAGAGAGATTATAAAGGAATAAAAGTGCTGCTATTTCGCCTTCGTGTTGTCCTCGGTGGGTTGCCTTGCCTGCGCCCTGCCCTAGGGACCCTGGTCGAGAGGACCTGGAACTGACGGAGGAGTCACCAGGTGGAAAGTGATGGACGTGCTCTGTCCAGCCATTCTGGCCTTGGTGTGTAGACCTTCGTACCTCCTGGTAGTTAAAAATGTCCCTGGCTGGTGTGGCTCAGTGGATTGAGCGCCGGCCTGCAAACCAGAGGGTCGCCAGGTCAATTCCCAGTCAGGGCACATGCGTGGGGGATGCGTGGGAGGCAACCACACTTTGATGTTTCTCTCCCCCTTTCTCTTTCCCTTCCCCTGTGTCTAAAAATAAATAAAATCTTAAAAAAAGAAAAAAAATGTCGTAGCATCAAGACCTCTGTCATGCTAAATCCAAAGTATATTTTCAGTTCTCATTTTATTTTGACTTTTCAGCAGCATTTTACCCTACCCCCACCTGTTTTAAAGTGTTTCCTTCCCTAGGGCAGCCGGGACACAGACACGAAGTAAAGATCTGTCTCTCTCCTTCTACTTCTCCATGTCTCCTTCTGAGGCTCATGTCCTGTTGCATTAACTGCTGGGCCTCTCCACAGTCTGGCACAAGGCCCTCTTCCCCTGCTGCCCTCTCTCCTCAGGCCACCTGATCCAAACCCTGTCCTTGTGCTTCTCCTGGAGGCCAGAGGTTCACAGCTCCTGTCCTCCGCCCAGACATCTGCTTAGATCATGCCATCCACGTGCGGCCAGTCTCTCCTTGGGCACTCACTTTCTTTAAGCAGCATGCAGCGAAGTGCTCGGAGACCTAGCGGCTGCAAAGAGATCACCGGTGCTCCGCTCGCTCATTCTAGGATTGCCATCGAGGCTTCTTAACCTGCCCGTTTATCTTGCTCGTGATTTTGTGTTTTCTTTCATTTTCTCCCTTTCCAGAGTCTTCCCTCCACACACAGCCCCTTTTTTCTCCCTACTGTAAATAAATACTCAGCTGCAGTATCACATAAGAACAAAGATGTTTCTTGTTTACATTGCTCATAGCAATTCTTCCCAGATTGGAACATTCTTAAGTCTCTTTCCACCTTCACCATTCTTGGCGATGGGTTGACTCGGCTCTGGGGGGTTCTGGGCCACATGCGCTCAGCTGCATTCAGCTCCCAGGAGCCTTTGTACTGAGTATGCGCGATGTGCACACCTACTTCCTGGAATAATAAAGCCGGGTCCACAGAATGTGGTACTTCGAACTCTGGGGTATTTAGATTAGACACTTGTAAATGTATTATGCGTTGCTCACCTTAATGCCCATTATCTTCATCACTCTACACAGAGGAAAGTTAGAAACAAATTTTAATTCCAACCAAATAAATTCAGGGCGCCTAGACAGAAGAAATCCTAATCATGCTCTTTGGAAATGACTGGGGAATGGGTCCAAGTTTTGGGTGGGAGGTTGTACGGAGGGTGAAGAACCACTAGCGGCAGGCAGCTGGGCCCAGCCACCAGGGTCAGCCCCCTCGTCCGGCCCTTGCTTTTGCATTCCGTCCGGAGTACCGGGCTGCTGCTCCCTGGGGGCAGCAGAGCAGGGGTCCAAGTGGAGAGCCGAGGGCACGCTGCAGACCCCAGTGTGCTCCCCTGTGGGGTGTCTCTGAGACTGGGCTGGAGGCCAGACGGGGCCCTTGCACGTCGCACAGGTTTGCTTTCAGGTCAGGTATGTGAGTGAAGACGTTTTGCTGGCTAAGTAGAAATGTCAGGAATTTGTTGCCATTCATTAAAGGTTTATAAAATAAAACCTGCCTAAAGTCAGTCAAATCCTGCTCTAAAATCCATAAACTTTTGATGGATTGGTGCTTCGTTCCCATTGTCATTGTGTTAGGCTGCTGTCCCACACTCCCTGGAGGCAGAAACAGCAGACGAGGATTTCCCCACGAAATCCACATTCCGGAGGCAGGAGGCCAGGACGCCCTCTTAGTCAGGCCCGCGTGGCGGAGGAGGGGAGAGGGGGCGAGCGAGAGCTTTCTGGTGCCTCACAAGAATGCTGATTCCACTAGGACTCCCTCTCAGGACCTCAGCTAAACCAGGCACCTCCCAGCGGCCCCACCGCCAAACACCATCGCACGGGGGGTGAGGGCTGCAGTGTGTGAATTTGGGGGGGACGCAGTTTGGTTCATCGCAGTCATTTACACAAAACTTTAAATTAGTGAATCAGGATTGGGCCTCACAAGGTGATGGTTAGGCTAGAATTGCGGGAGTTACCAGAAAGTCCATTTCCCCACCAAATGCACAAGTGACAGAACTGCTTTTTACGTAGGGTGGCCCTGCGTCCTTAGCAAGTAGCATGTTTTCTCTCATTTCCTTCATCTCAGTTCGTTTTTATAATGGGAGCGTGATTTCCGGCATTCCATTGTATTTCGAATGGTATGTGTTCAGACCATAGTCCCCATAGACATTTCTTTTTTCTTTTTTAATCATTTCTTATTTTTCAGTTACAGTTGACATACAGTATAATATGGGTTTTGGGTGTACACCGAGAGATTAGACCTTGTATAGCTCATTAAGGGGTCAGTGCAATACGTCTTGCACCCACGTGACACCGTACATAGTTATTAGAATATTGACTATATTCCCTGTGCTGTACTTTTTTATCCCCATGACTGTTCTGTAATTACCAGTTTGTACTTCTTTGTTGTATTGGTTTTAGAGAGAAAGAGGCAGGCAGACATCAGTTTGTTGTTCCACCATTTATGCTTGCTTTGGTTGATTCTTGTACGTGCCCTGACCAGGGATTGAACCCGCCACCTTGGCACAGTGGGACGATACTCTAACCAACTGAGCTACCTGGCCAGGGCTCCTTGTTTGTTTGGTTTTTTAGATTGAATTGTTGATAGGTATTTATTGCCATTTTATTCATATTTTTTATCTTTTTTTCTTCCTAAAGAAGACACTTTTAACATTTCGTGAATACTGGTTTGGTGGTGATGAACTCCTTTAGCTTTTTCTATTCTGAGGAGCTCTTTATTATAATCCTCAATTATAAACGATAGCTTTACTGGGTAGAGTAAGCTTGGCTGTAGGTGCCTGCTTTTCATCGCTTTGAATTATTTCTTGCCAGTCCCTTCTGGCCTGCAAAGTTTCTGTTGAGAAATCTTCTGACAGTGTTACAGGAGCTCCCTTAGAGGTAACTAACTGCTTTTCTCTTGTTGCTTTTAAGATTCTCTCTTTGTCTTTAACCTTTGGCATTTTAATTATGATATGTCTTGGTGTGGGCCTCTTGGGTTCACCTTGTTTGGAACTATGTGCCATCTGGTCTTGCATCTGTTTCCTTCCCCAGGTTAGGGAAGTTTTCTGTCATTTTTTCACATAGGTTTTCAGTTCCTTGCTCTCTCTTCCCGGCACCCCCATGATGCAAACGTTGGCATGCTTGACGTTGCCCCCGTGGCTCCTTAGACTAGATGAAACTGCTTCTGGGAAGCATTCTGATGCCTGGCCAGGGCCAGCCCTTGGTGACCTCTGGTGTGTTGCCTGTTTCAGGGAGCTGAGGCCATGGTCCTGGAGAGCGTGATGTTCGCTATTCTTGCAGAGAGGTCACTGGGGCCGAAACTGTACGGCATCTTCCCGCAAGGCCGCCTGGAGCAGTTTATCCCGGTAAGATGGGCTTGCGACCGGTGGGTTGGTGTGCCTGCTGTGAGGGGACGGGGCTTTTGTCCTGTGGCTGCAGGGACCTGAGGGGCTGGGGTCTGAAATAGTAAATGTGACCTATATTCTTAAACTGTACCTGAAAGAGAGAAAATCCCAGTTTCTGTTGAATTTACATAAGATGCTCTGTCTTTCCTGCAAAGATATGTTTATCCAAATCAAAAATGTAGATGAGCCTTAACATCTGTTGTCCTCCAAAGCTGCTTGCCCTATAACGTCCCCTTTTGCTATGTTCCTCTTACCTGCTGGGCCTCCTTACAGACCTGTGTGCACAGTACCTGGCACTGACTGCTCCATGCCACCTCTCTGGTCTCTGCCTCTGAGGCCACCACTGTTTTTTGTCCTGTTCCCTGTTGTCCTCTCTCTCTGTTTGGCGTTGCCTGCCCCTGTATGTCCGCTAGATTCCTCTCACGTCTCAAGGCCTAACTCTGAGTCTGTTTCTGAGTCCGGGCTGCTGGCTGGCCTGAGGCATTGTGAGTGCTGCTCTACCACCTTCTAGCCCAGCCTTGTTTAGAGTGAGGGGTAGTGGTCCCAGCCTTCCCCGCAGAGGGCCCCGGCCTCAGGAGCGCCTGTTGCAGTGGGTGTGGGTGTGGGGTGTAGCTCCTCTGGGTGCAGATGCTGAGCCTTGCTGGCCCACATCCCACTTGCAGCTAGGCCTGCAGGTGGGGAAAAAGGTGCCCACTCTGAGCCTGCATGAGCTCCTTGAGCACTAGGGTCACACACGACCACTTTTTCAGGCCTTGCCTCACGTGGTGCCTTGGCCACTTGTATGTGCACGCAGTGCTGGGCACAAGGACGCCTGGTGAGGGGGTGCTCTGCCTCCGTTCAGCTGGGGCTTCGGGGGCTTCCTTTGTCCAGTCCCACCACCCGCAGTGGCGCAGTGACACCAGGGGGTGTCACTCACTCTGCCAGAGCGCACTTTAAGCCTCTGCCGTGGCACCTGGCTGTGTGTGTGTTTGTATTTTTCCCAGTAAAGACAGTAAAGTTGTTTGGCATAAGAATCAAAACAAGATCATAGAAGTACTTGTAAGAATTTGGCAAATATAAGACTTTATGTTTGCACGTGGCAACACGGTTGCATCTTAAAAACAATATTGGTTGATAAAATCAAATTGCAGAAGACTGCACATAGTATCATACTATTTTAATAAAGCCCAGTAGGATCAAGTTGAACATTGTTTAATACATACACGTGTGGTAAAACTCCTCTGTTTGGAGCAGGCAGGGAGCCCCTGAACACAGCTCAGAGATGGGCTGCCTCATGGGGACGGAGCTAGGGCTGCGGCACGGCCACTACTCCAGTTCCAGAGTCCTGTGCTCTCGTACGTGCTGTTTGTAGTAAGGTGTTCTGGAAACGTTCCATTAAAGTTCTAGGGGGAACGCTGTGGAACTGCCAACATGTAACTTTTGGGCCCCAGAAATTGTGATTTCACTTGGCTAAGCCTGATTCTGTGCTGCCCCCAGGTTGGCTCTTGACCATGGCGTGTGGGGAGATGAACCCCGCCTTTCCAAGGGCACAGGAGGGCAGTGGCCTCCAGGAATGGGAGACAGTCTCATGTTTCCCTTCCTCCGCGCTAGGGATGGAGTTCAGGATCCTGAGGTTTCTTCATCTCTGAGCACGTTAGCTTTACATTTCCCACATTGCCAAACAAATTACTGGTGTCTTTTAACAGCTTTGCAAGCTGAGCGAGTTGCCTTAATCAGCCCTCAGTCCTGCTACTAGAAGCCCTGTCCCTGTTGTGTCATGGTCACTTGTGGAGGACCCAGCGTGGAGGGAGCCCTGAGCCTGGTGCTCTCAGCCGGCCTTGGCCCTGGTTGTAGGGCACCCGCTGCGTGGTGCCTCATCCGCGCTGTCTGCGCTAGTTCATTTCAGGCATTTGAGGACATTCACTCTTAACCCCTGGGCAGTCCCACTTTGGATTATCAGAGAAGTGTCTCAGGGTCTCTGTAGGGGCAGCTCGTGTGGGAGACACGGACAGGCCTCGGGGCCGCAGCTGCCGGAGGGAGTGGGGCTGAGTCCCACCGGTTCGGCACGCGTTTTGTTGTTGAGAGCCTTGTCTGTGCCAGGCGGGGTAGGTGCTGGGACCCCACTCTGAATAGTGGGACATGACTACCTGTGTGGGTCGGCGTGGGCCGTCCCAGCTGGCGAAGGAGCTGGGTGCCGGGCCGACTGAGCTGCTGTAGACCTGGAGCTTCAGCCGCGGGGGCCGCGCGCTTTGTGTCCCGTAGAGTGGACGGAGGGCGGGGTCAGATTATATGTGAAACGACTTTCTCTCAATGAAAGGGGTTCAAATTGAAATTAACTGAAGGTGGCCAGGCCCTCACTAAGAAGTGCCCTGGCAGTTGCTGGGTCACCATCATCAGGCACAGAGGCCGTTCTTTAGGGAGTTTTGTGCACTGGCTGAGACTTAGGTGCCCCCCAAGTCTCAAGTCTGGAAAGCCCCCCAAGCCTAACTTTTCGTTCTCAAAGATTGTGTGAGCCCCCACTTCCTAGGTTACCTAGATAGATGCCAATTTCCAACACCCTTTCTTATTTCAGAGCCGGCGATTAGACACTGAAGAATTACGTTTACCAGCTATTTCTGCAGAAATAGCTGAGAAAATGGCCACATTTCATGGAATGAAAATGCCATTTAATAAGGAACCAAAATGGCTTTTTGGAACAATGGAAAAGTAAGTGGTCAGGTCCCTCGGCTCTTGCTTAGTTGTACGTGGGCAGCTCCCTGGGAAGGAAGGCGGGTTTGCAGAAGTGCCACCACACTGGTGGATGGGTGGTGTCTGCTTCCCATCGCGCCCTGAGCCCCAGGCCCTGTCCTTTCCCCACCGTGGAGACTTGGGGAGCCCTGGGGTTGCGTGGTTATGTGTGACTTGAGCCCAAGGACAAGCTGCTGTGAATTGAGTTATGCTTTTCTGTTCCCCTTTTTTGCAAGATATTTAAATCAAGTGCTGAGAATTAAATTTACCGGGGAAACCAAAGTGAAGCAGCTCCACAGATTCCTCAGTTACAACCTGCCTTTGGAACTGAAAAACCTGAGGTGAGTATTCGTTTCCATTTTTGGACCTAAAATTTGAGTATTCTTAGTCGCTAAAACAGTTGTCAGTGGTCACTTATTAAGTGTTGCCTCAGGTCTGGCATTCACACTGGTTCTGCAGGACAGGTTCAAACAGTGGATTTTGTCACCTGGGGTTAGTTTTATACGAGTGATGTCACCTTCCTGGTTGCCCACGGAGGTTTCATGGTGAGGGCACCGTCCTGTAGGGGTGGCCAGCGACCAGGGCAGCTGGTTTCTCCTGAAACGAAACTAAAGCAAGCAACCTACCACGGGGGCAGGCTGGGGGGGCGCCATCCGACGACGGGCAGTTCAGGCTGCAGGGGAAGCAGAGGAAGCTCGACGGCCCCCTCCGAGTAGACGCCATGGAGTGTTGGGGGTGCAGGGGTGCGGGCCGGCAGCGCGCGCCCCCCAGTCCTCAGGGTTCTACTGGGCAGAAGCAGTGACTGAGGCATCTTCAGGGAGCTTCTGTTTTATCATGAGAGACGGAAACCAAGCAAACAAAATAATGTTAAGCTGTGACAAGCGCTGTGAAGGAAACCAGTCTGCAGAACAGACAGACACAGAGGGATGTGCTCTGGTCAGTGGTCAGAGCCGGGCTCTCGGAGCGGGGGCTGCGGGCCAAGCGGCAGCCGCATGAGGGGATCCTCGGGAGAGGACCGGAGAGCACAGCTGGAGCGCTGGTCCTGCCGCCTGTCCTCGGGCCTGTCCCACATATGACAGTTTCCACAGTTGGTGTGATGAGTGCTCCCCAGAGGCGACAGGCTGGGTCGGGGCACTGGCGCAGTGCAGGGCATGCTGGGACAGCAGGGCCTGCGCTGGGCTTCTCGTGGGTTCTGTGAGTAACAGCAGGACCCTCCTTTTCCAGGGCATTGCTTGAGTCCACTCCATCTCCAGTTGTGTTTTGTCACAACGACTGTCAAGAAGGTAAGAGCTGCCGCCCGCCTCAGTCACGTGCTGCAGGGCTGCCTGGGGCGGAGGGTGGCGGTGGCCGGAAGGGAGAGGATGGAGGGTTGTTTGGGTGATGGCACAGCCAGACAGAGGGCCACACGACTGTCAGGGGTTTGGGTTTGTACCTGCCAACAGGGACGTCTCCAGGATGCACGAGAGAAGAAAGCAAGTTTTAGAAAAACATGTAGGGTATCATCCCATTTTTGTAAAAAACTATACTCATTCGAACCAGAATATTCACCGAATTGGGAGCCGAGGTAAAGGCCTTAAACTTGCAAAGGCACGTGCTCCTTCCCTGTCAGACGTCTTCTGTCCATGTGATGCTGACGGGATGGGCAGCGCCCTGCTGCACAGGGCCGGTCAAGCTGGGCGTAGACATGTCAGCCAGTTTTGTGTGTGAGGAAGGTCAGCTGGCCAGTGATGGCAGATGTGTGGAGAGGTTGGAGGGGGTGCAAGGCACGCATTTACTTGGCTCTGCTCCTGGGTGCATCGGCCGCCTCCTCGTCACAGCCACTGGGACGGGAGGTGTGTGCTGAACAGCCTGGAAACGGGGTCTCCTGCTCGCCCACTGCCCTGTGGGGGCTGAGATGCTCAGCGCCATGTAGACTGGGGGTTGGGGGGGCTCCCAGCACCCAGGCCTGAAGGGCCAGTGTGGCGGCCAGTTCACTTCTGGCCCAGAATTCAGCCCTAAAGGAAATACGGTTGTAAGAACGTTGCCTGTGGTCTCTTTGGGAAGAAAACCCAGCGAAGGCAAAGCAGCGGGGCTGGGCGCGGCCTGCAGAACCCTGTGGTGGCCGAGATCACTCACCCTGGCATCCTTGTTGTGAGGGCACCGGGACCCAGCTTCCTAGCATCCTCACCTTGGGGCTGCCCGGGGTGTTAGGGCAGCCAGAGCTCTGGTGGCCACACCGGCGTCTCCTTGGTGCCCCGTGTGAGAAACTGGGGGCACTGCCCCAGAAAGCAGAGGGGGAGCCTGGGGCTGCGCTGCTTGGGGCTGCTGTGAGCGGGCGGGACCCAGGGCCTTCCGCCGTAGGCCGCGTCCCCGGGACAGTGCCGCTCCGGGGGCCAGCCGGGGCAGCGGCCATCTTCACCCGCTGGCTCTGCTGTTCAGGACTTGGGCCTGCAAGGATGAAACCTGCCCAGAGTAAACCTCATGTCATGCAAACCTTTCTGCAGGTAACATCTTATTGCTGGAAGGGAGAGAGAACTCTGAAAAACAGAAACTGATGCTCATCGACTTTGAGTACAGCAGTTATAATTACAGGTAATCTTTGTTAAGTACGTTAAAGTGTTTTTCTTTCCATAGTGTTTTCGTAGAGTACGCATATGAAACAGTCATAGGGGAAAATAGTCAACAATACTGTTCTAAGTTAAAGTTTCTTCTGGAAACCGACGCTTTTTGTCCCTGTGCCCGCTATGGCCATGGGCAGCAGCGCAGCTCACCCTTAGCTTCTGTTAGAGGGCGCAGGGATGTGCGTGATCAGAATCCAGGATGGGGTACTTTCCTTTGGGCTCAGAGGTAATTTCCTTTCATAAAAGTACTGATCGCAGGAGAGAGCTCTTGACAGGTCAGGTGGCGCTTTGCTGCTTCTGTTGGCTGCGATTCTGGTAACAGCTCTATTGGTTGTCCCTGTCACTGAAGCAGCAGGTCCCCATCTGGGACCTGGGACGCCAGCTCGCTGCCGGGAGGGATGCTCATGGCTCGGCCTCCTTTGTCCTGTAAGGGGCCCGTGGTGGCCAAGTGGCCTCATCCTCTGCGTTTCTTACCTGTTTTTCAGGGGATTCGACATTGGGAACCACTTCTGTGAGTGGATGTATGATTACACCTATGAAAAGTACCCTTTTTTCACAGCAAACATCCTTAAGTTCCCTACCAGGAAGCAGCAGGTAAGGGCTGGTGTTGGTATACTGGTTAGTTGGTAAATTACCCAACTCAGTTTTATGTGGTTAGTATGATTACATCTGCATTTTTAAAGATGCCCTTTTTAAACTGTAATGGTTAGGCAAACCCTTTTGCTTCAAACGTTGTTTCGTTAAATGTAGACACAAACTTGATTTTTGAGTCCAACTCTGTGCCAGAGAGAAGCGCAGTCTTTGTAGTTCTTTCTCGTTTTTTTCTAAAAAGTCAGCCTTGGTTCTGCTTTTTGGCTGTCTCGGCAGATCTCTGAATCCTCCCCGTTCCCCACTCTGCGGGGAGAGACACACTGAGGCGCCGGGAGTTAGTAGCTGCAGCACTGTTAGCATCCTCCTTCCTGTCCTTAGTTGGGGGCTCCCAGGGACAGGGACTGTCTCCCGAGAACCCCCTCTTCCATTCCGTAGCCCCCCGCTGCAGTCTGGTGTGAGAAGTAGGAAGCAGCGCGGAAGCGAGCAGGTGGGGGAAGTGCCCCAAGCCCACTCCGTGAGCCTGTGCCAGGCGGCAGCTCCACCACCCTCCGTCCGGCACGTCCTGCCTGGTCGGAAGCTTTCACAGAGGCTACGGGCGTGGACAGGGATGCATTCAGTTGCCACTGCAGCTCACTGAGCAGGTGTTTTGTAGGCGACCCATGCGCCAGGAGCGGCTGTGTAAGTGTAGGCTTGTTGTGGGGCCAAAACTGTGGCACTCTCTTCTGGCCACAGTCCAAGACGGAGCACAAGGAATGTGAGCGTGTCCAAAGTGGCCGGATGGCCTGGCCCTCACGGGCGTGCAGTATGGGAAGGAAGGGCAGGAGCGAGCCAGGGAGCGAACACGGCCGTCGTCTCCCCTCTGTGACCTTTTGCCTGCTGAGGAGAAATTCGACTTTGGCGAAAGCCAGGCCACACTGGAGGTGAAGACTCTGAAACCAGCAGGGCAGCTCTGCAGGGTGAAGGTGGGTTTCATTTTAGGGGGACACAGAGCTGTGACCACCATTGTTGCACAGTGTAGAGAAGTTCTATTCCTTGTTTCCTGGGAGGTTTTAAAAATCACATCGAGGTATTGATCGGGTTTTTCTTGGATGCAGAAAGGTTAGCTCATGCTTTTCACTCTTTAATTTATTAGCAAGTTGTTTTTAACTGTTAAACCATCCTAGAATTTCTGCAGTAAAGGCTTTGCATGAGTTGTGTTATGTTGTGATGCTCTGATGGCAACATCTTATTTTACGGGGTCTACATCTGTGCACGCAAGTGGAATGGACCTTTTATGTTCATTTTTTAAATTATTGCATCTGCTTTTGGAATCAGAATTGTACTAGTCCTATAAAGTGAGCTGTCCCTTCGTGTTGTCTGGAACACATTTATGGAAGATGAAGGGTGTGTGTTCTTTGAAAGTTTGAGGGACCTTGCTTGCCACACAGCCCCGGCCTAGGACTTCTTTGGAGGGAGGGTCTTTGGTCTCTGTTCCATTAGGGTGTCGATCTGTTGAACTCAGGTCTTCTGTCTGCGTTTGCCAGTCTCGGCATTGAGCGTGTCCTGGAGATTAGTCCTGTTAGTGCTGCGCCTCAGGCCTGGTTCTAAAAGCGAATCTGCCTGGGGTTAAACCCCAGAGCTGCCACTGCTGGCTGTAACCCACAGATTGTTTCTGCACTTCCATGTCCTCACCTGTAGGCACCGTTTTGTTGTGAAGAGTAAGTTAATATGCGGAAACAAGAGTTCCCGATGGTGCTGTTATTAGGGTTCAATAGGTTCCAGTAGGCGTCCTTTCTGTGCCGAGTTTCCTTCCAAGTGTGGGGCCCCTTCCAGAGTCCCTACCTACGCAGTGGTTGAACTTGAGTGATGCTTTTTGGTGAGAGGTGACTTGAGAGGAGGAAGGTGAAAGAGGCCACACAGAGAAAGGAGGCCCAGGAAGATGGGTGGGCATTCCAGCGAGGCAGCCAATTAGGGAGGGCAGGGTAGTGGACAGCTGCTTTCTTGTTTACAGGAGAAGGCAGAAGGATCGGTGGTTTGCCTTTTGATAGTCTTTGAAATAGCCAAGAGCCAGGTGCCCCTACATTCCGATTCACATGCGGACTGAACATGTGGACCTGGGATCCCTTAGGTAAACTGTCTCGTTTCCAAATCAGAATTAGACGTTGCCACTTTTGAGCCTAAGTGGGTAAAAAAATCACAGCACCTTGGTTGGGCAGCTCCCATTGCTGGTTCTGAGGGCGCATCAGGACACCCCATGGGGGTGTTCAGCCTGGGCCTGTGGGCTGTGTGTGCTGCCCAACATAAAACGGTAAAGTTCCTTCAAGCATTATGAGATAGTTTTGTGATTACATATCGCACTGTGTTTAATGTGTGGCCCAAGACAGCTCTTCTTCCAGTGCGGGGCCGACGCGCCAAAAGGTTGGACACCTCTGCCCTAGAGCCTTGGGCCTGCCAGTGCTGGGGATGGGCTTAGCCTGCTTTATGGTCATACGATGCAAAGCATAAGTGCGAATTAGAAGTTAAAAAGTCGTTCTAGCTAAGTTATTTTCTCCAGAAGTAGCCTTAGCTTCCTACGCCTGTCTTGTCAACAATACCACACAGAGCCCCTTAGAACTCCGACGGCCCCCTGGTGACCACTCGAGATGAGGGAGCCTCCCCGTCTGCTCCTGGGCACGCGGCATGCTGGGCTTCTCCAGCCTGACCCGGATGTGTGTGCTCCACAACAGCTTTTCACAGTGTCTGTTTTTAACCATCACCGCTCCTTGCTTTTGTTTTTTTTCTTTTAGCTCCATTTTATATCCTGTTACTTGGCTACATTCCCAAATGAATCTGAAAACCTCAGTAATGAAGAAAAGACCATTATGGAGGAAGAAATGCTGGTGGAAGTCAATAGGTAATGTTTTTCCGTTGCTGATTTGTAAACAGAGCGTACCCCTGCGTAGAACATAGTTGGGGTGCCTCCTGGCTGTGGAGTATTTTAGGAGCATCTCTAGCACTTGTGCACTGTCAAAACAACGTCAGCCCTCCTCTGCGGCTGAGTGTGTCCCAGTGTCAGCAGGTAGGGGAACAGGGTCTGCGTGGGAGGCAGGACGCTCGCGCAGGGTTCCGCCCGGTCCTCCGTGCATGAGCCCCGCCTCACGGGCTGCTCCCACCCAGGCCTGCACGTTCCGTCTCTGACACTTGGGGCTCGTGGGCACCATCTGACAAGGTGTCTCTTAGAAAATAAGGCCAAACTGTATCTCCTGGTTCTGAGTCTTGTTTTTAACTGTTTTTCATCAGCTCTCAAAGCAGGGCTTGGTAACTTTCAGACTCCACAAAGGTCTAGGCCTGAGTTATTGTGAGTCTTTGGGGTCTCCTAGGAGATTCTTTGGTAAAAATAACTGTTTAAGTAATTTTGGCCCATCTTGTTCTCTGTGCACCACCTTGTGGATCACCTCTTCATGGTCTTTAAGATTTTGTTTATCTTTAGAGCAAGGGGAAGGGAGGGAGAGAGAGAGAGGAGAAACATCGATGTGTGAGAGGAGTATTGATTAGTGGTTGCCTCTCCCTTGCGTCCCAACCAGGATGCAAATCTGCAGCCTGGGCACGTGCCCTGCCTGGGAATCAAACTGGTTGCCGGGCCTTCTGCCAGCCAACCGAGCCACACCGGTCTGGGCTCTTGGTGGTCTTCAGACGTGTCCACATACCTCCCCAAGTGTGCTGCCCCGGCTCCAGACGGACCAGATGGGACTGGAACAGAGGGGACCCACGCAGGAGGGGCTGCACCAGGGGCAGAGGCGGTCGGGACTGCCAGGAAAAGGGGGCGGGTTGCTGTTGGTGAGGAGGCGGCTGGAGTGCTCCTCCAGGATTAGAGCTTTTCTTCGATTGCCAGAAGCCCAAAGGTATGAATGTGAGGACTTGGCTTCGGTGGCAAGGGCGTGGCGCAGCCTATAGGGTGATTGGCCCACACTCTCCTGTGCTTGGTTTCCAGGCCATGCAGCCAGTGCGGAGCGGGGAAGGGGTGAGGGCAGCGTCCCACTGTGGGAAAAGGCGGCTCCTGCCAGAGGTCTGCGCTGCCGCCTCGTGCTGGGGAGTGTGGCAGGTGCTCATGCTACGCCCTCCCTCCCATGGGCACACAGGGTCTCTGTGTAGCCCAGGCTTCGCTGGCGCGGCCACCACAGCCTCAGGTGAGCCCTGCGAATGCCATTCTCTGTGCCAGGGGCAGGCAAGTGGGTGTGAGTGCACCTGCCGGGGGCGGGGCGAGAGCCCCCTCGCCGTGGGACGTCACCCACTGAGTCTGCCCAGGCAGTCACTTGGCGTCCAGATGATTCTACAGGAGTTAGAATGTCCACCTAGCAGAAGCGACCTCTGTTCCTCTAACGGCACCGCCCAGGTGTTCACGTGGTACCCTGCTTCTGTAATTACAGGTTTGCCCTTGCGTCCCATTTCTTCTGGGGACTTTGGTCCATCGTACAGGCCAAGATTTCATCCATTGAATTTGGATACATGGTATGTTTGGGGGGTGGTTTCTGTCTTCTCCAGGGGAAATGGCTGCAGCGAATGTAAAGGCTCAGTGGTTGGGGTGGTTCTTCAGAGAGGGTGGCCGGTTTCCCGCGAACACCTGAACCGGGGGGTCCGGGGACCTGTGGGAGAAGGGCCACATGTCTTTGAAGCCACACTGGCCGATGCCGTGTCTGCCTGTCCAGCCGCCCAGCCTCCCAGGGCTGGTGGCCCTGCCTTCCCTGCTTCCGAGAGGGCTGGGAGGACCTCTGCTTGTGGCGGGGGGCATAGGGAGGCAGGCGCGACAGGGCCAGCCCCGAGGGGCTCTGGGGGTCGGTGTGCGGGAAGCTCCTGCCCCTGCGTGTGATCTGTCTGTCGCCAGTCCTTTCTTTGGCCTCCAGCACCCAACTTAGAGATGGAAGCTGGTGCTGACTGAATCCGACATCCTCCCTGCAGACAGATTGTGCCAGGCCAGGCTGTCACTTCATTCCACCTGTGGAACCATCCTTGTCAAGGACAGTGTTGTTACCCTGTAGTTCAGCCCCTGCTGCTCCAAGAGTGTGGCGCAGTGTCCCGGGGCGGGGTGGGGTGGGCACACAGAGGCCTGTAGTGAGCACCCTGCTTTGGGGCAGGTGGTGGGAATTGACTAGTTCTGGGTTCTCGGTCCTGTGTGGGGATGGTTCCTGCTTCTAGGCAGAGGTGTGGGTGTTCACAGGGGCCATGTGAGGGAGGAGGAGAGGGGAAATTGGGATTTTCTAAAGCAAATTTGGAGTCATCGTCAAATGACACTGTAAGAAGTAGACTTCTCAGATGAGTGCTTTAAGAGGAACTTTTGTTAACGTCCATCCGTGTCTTGACCACTCGGGGTATACGTGTAAGACGGAATCAGGCAGCAGCAGGTAACATAGACAGAGTCCTGCCTGCGGTGGCAGCCAAGCCAGACACCTTCCAGATGAAGATGTGGGCGGAACACGGCCACAGCGTGAGAAGACTGTTTGGGGCGGGGCTCCAGGGCAGACTGCCACCGGTGGAGCTATGCTGTGCGGTTGGTGGCCTGGGTGGGCCCCGGGCAGCATTTGGGTGGCAGGAGCCCTGGGTGAGACTAGTCCCTTGTGTCCCCTAGGAATATGCCCAAGCGAGGTTTGATGCCTATTTTGACCAGAAGAGGAAGCTGGGGGTGTGACCGCCAGGAGGACTTCATACACTCCATCCCTGGACTTCACGGGGCGGCCGAGCCAGCGGGGCCCTCTGCTCGACTACTGTCCCTGCGGCAAGGAGCTAGGAAGTCTCGCTGCCGCACACAGATGTGTATGATACGAAAGACTATTAAAATTGAGTAACATTTATTTCATATCTTGTTCTACGATTTCACTAGGCCTCCGACATGAGCGCGGGCAGCAGAAACAGTGCAATAGCGCGGTAGTGCGGTAGCGCCGACCCAGCGTCCAGGGCGGGCCCAAAGCTCACAGTCGGACGCGCGGCCAGCCAGCATGCGAGCACGGGGGCTTCTGGTTTAATGTTGATTTTTACAGGACTTTAATTACCCTGCTGGTGCGCACTGGCCTGGCCCTCTGTAGGAAGCAGTGTGTATAGACACTGCTCACTCCCAAGGGTGGTGGGGGACAGGACAGATTGTGGCATTGCTGGTGGCCTGCCCTCCCGACTCTGGAAGCTGCTCTTTCACCCTTTGGTCCAAACGGCTGATGCTCAAGACCACAGACTCCGCACGACAGGTGCAAGCTGCTGCTGTCTCCACGCGACGAATGTAGCCCCGGCGCCTGTGTGCGTTCTGTTGTACGGACAAGCCTCTCTCGCCCCACGCCCCATGCCCCACCAAACGTGCTTCATCAGCCCTGCCCTCGGGCTGGCGGCTGGGCCTGGGGCAGTGTGGGGGCAGCTGCCCCATCTGCCTTCTCTGCCACGATTCTCTCCAGCCTGGAGCTGGTGGTTCTGTGTCAGGGCTGGCTGCTCCAGGGTCCCTGGCACCTTGGTGTGCTGGGGGGGAGCTGGAAACCTTGGCCCGGGCTCTCAGTGGCAAGCCGTCCCTGCCCTCACCGCTTCCTGACACCTCAACGTCATCCTGGTGGGAACCAGCAGCCTGTGAAATGTTGGGGCGTGGATAGGGTGTAGCTGTGAAGTTCGTTTATGTTAACTGTCCTTTGGGATAAATGCCTTTTTCAAAACATCTGAAATCTTATTTAAATTGTTCTGTTCATATGTTTCTGCCACCACAGAGGTTGTACTATACGATCAATGAAAAAAATAAAAATCCATCTTCAGCTGTCACCCGTGGCTATGTCCTGAGTAGCAGCGCACGCCAGTGCCTGGGAGGCAGGGCGGCTGGGCGGCTGGGCCTGGGCCTGGCAGGAGAGGCGTCCCAGTGCACTCCCGTAGACATTTAAAATTTAACCAGGTGGGCACATTTTGATGTCCAGTAAAACTAAGCAGTAAATGGGGCCGACTCCCATGTGGCAGCTCGCTTCAAATAGAGCTCCCAGACCCTTCCTGGGCCTGCCGCCCGCCTGGGTCTCCAGCCTCGCCCTTGCTTGCGGCCGGCCCTCCGGCCCTCACTCCAGCCTTTCTCCAAGACACCAGGCTGCTTGCGGGCTCCTCCGCTGCAGCCCACTCTTGAGCGGTGGGCCCCGCGCATCCTTCCACGGTCGGCCCGCAGCCGTTCTCGCCCCCTCCCCGCCCCGCAGTCTCCCTGGCCCAGCACTTTTATTCACTGTACGTGGCTTTTCCTGAAATTCTGATTTGTTCAGTTCTCTCCTGTGTTAGACTGAGCAGGGATCAGGCCTGTCCTCAGTGCAGGTGACCTACCTGTCCCCGTATCTCCTGATGGTCTCCGGGCCCCAGGCCCCGACAAGCTCACTGCAGAGCTTTGCCGAGTCCCACCACACCCAGGCTCCTCCTGCCAGGCTGCCCACCAGCTGTGCATCAGCCAGGGCAGGGCTGCCAGCCTCTCCCTGGGCTCACACCTGCCTCCTCACAGACCACCACACGGCGCAGGGTCCCTCTGTCACCACCCCCACCCTACAGCCTCTGCCCCCCAGGAAGGGGTAAGGCTGGGGGCCCAGGCTGAGCCCAGATCCCACCGCAGCCCCCGGACCCATGCACCAGCCTGGACTCCTCACCGGACACGGCCATCGTCATTTCTCAGGGCCAAGTCTGCCAGACGTGCGGGATTGCCACACAGGCCCAGGCAGCCCCTGCCTGGCATCTGGGGGCCCTGAGGCACGGCCTCCTCCCAGCAGCTGGCCAGCTCAGAGCCACAGCCACAGTGACGGGGCTGGGCCACCTGGTTTGCTGTGCCCAGAGCATCTGGCCTCAAAGAGGCCTTTGTCCCAGGGGCGTCCTGCTGGAGAAGGCCAGGCCTCTGAGCGGCATTGGCTCTGCCTCCCAGCCAGTGGTGCGACCGGGCCAGAAAGGCCAGGACACCACCCCCAACCCCAGTAGAGGGAGGGGCAGTGTTGGGGGCGCCGGACTGCCTGCCCAGAGAGAGAGGGGAGACTGCAGCCTCCTTGACCACAGGGAGGCAGGGCCTGGGGTCTGGCTCAGCCCTCACCCAACCCACGCGGCTGCCCTGCGGCCAGCCTCTGCCTTCTCTGCAGGATGGTGTACGAAGGACACCATGCTCGTCCTGTGCAGTGTTGGGTCTGCTTGCTGTCCCAGGCTGCTCTCCGCTGCAGAGCATCATGTGCCTGGGGCCGATGCCAGCAGCCAGTTCATGCCAGGAACCGCCCTCCCCACCGAGTATCTAGAACACCTTGGAGCCTGTCAGCACACCCCCAAGGATGGATGCTCCTTTCCTGAGCCCCGCTGGGAAGGCACCATTTGCAGCTAGAATGTGCTGCGAACACCCCTCTCTGGTCTCTGGTCCTGCACCCTGGGAGTCTGGGATTATCACAGATGTGCCTGTGGGTCCTCTGTACTCGACTCCTTGAGGCCCTGGATCCTGGACCAGTGCCTTCCTCGCACCTTGCTCAGCTGCAAAGGTGCCAAGGAGGCTGTGAGTGACAGGCACTGTGGCCACCCACACCCACAGCCCTCCACTGCCCCAGCCTCCCACCCCTGCCTCCCAGACAGGAACCAGACACAACCCTGGGCCTTCCTGCCCTTTATTCCTTTCCAGCTTCACTCAGCAAGGCGGGGCTGGGCCGCGGGGCTGGGCCGCGGGGCTGGGCCGCGGGCCTAGCCACGGGCAAGCACTATTCATCCTCCACGGCGAAGGTGAAAGGGTTCAGCTTGTAGCCAGTGCCCGAGTAGAACTTGTTCTGGAACTCCACCCTGGGGTGAGGAGGGGCGGCTGGTCAGGGGAAGGCCCTCCGCCCTGCCCCCTGCCACCCAGGCCGCTGGGCCGCTCACCAGTGCAGCCGCAGTGCGTGCAGGAAGGCCGAGAGCCCCTCCATCACAAGCAGGATGGCGACGGTCATCACGGCGAAGGCAGCGAAGATGGGGACCAGCGCCACAGCCGCCACGCCCACGTCGCGGCCCAGGCCCAGGCCCGCCCGCAGCACCATGGCCCACAGAACCTCCGACAGCTCTGTGGGTGCAGGGGGAGCCGTGGAGACCCGGGGCCGGGGCTTCCCACGCAGCCCCCTCCACAGCCTGAAGCCCCACTTCTTACGGGGCCACCGGGGCACCTCCTCTGAGGTCCCCTCATCAGAGGGGGATCCTGAGGCCCTGAGAAGTGGCCCGCCCAGGCTGCCCAGCCAGCAGCTGCGTGTGTGGGAGATGGAGCCAGGACCCACCCGTGGTCGGGCCGCCCACCATGCCGGTCACTCACGGGCATGGGCCAGGCTCAGGGCCCAGAGGCGCAGGTAGGACGCTGTGTTGGAGATGCAGCCCAGGCAGAACTCGATGGTGTGGATGGCCTGGTGCATGAGCACCTCGGAGAGAACAAACTGCGGGGGAGGGGCGGCAGTGAGCGCACGCCGGGCCGGCCGCCACCCCCGACTCTGGGAGGCACTGCACCCACCTCGGCCTCCTCTTGGTCCCCTGAGCACCCCGCCTTCTCCTCATCAGAGCCCCAGCCAGCCACGGACGTGTCGGTCGAGTCCAGGAGCCCCGTCTTGACCTCGTCCTAGGAATGGGGAGCAGGCAGCAGGCAGCAGCAGCAGCCCAGCCACAGACGGCTGAGCTGCCCCTCGCCGCCTGCACACAGCCACTCGGGAGCCCGCGAGGACACGAGGGGCATCTCAGGCTGGCAGCAGCCCCGCATCCCTGACAGCCCCCCACATCCCCTCCCCTACCTGCAGCTGGCCAGCGTGCCTCCTCTTCAAGGGACGCCGGTGCTTCCAGCGGAGGAACAAGGGCGTGCCGAGCAGCAGGACGGGCACCGTGGCCAGGGCCAGGACCACCAGCGTGGACTGCACTGCCTCCTGCGGGGGCGGGGCTCCGGTCAGGGCGCCCCGCTGGCTGCACGCCCAGCCCGGCTCGTGGGGGCCCAGGGTGCCCGCGGCCTGCTCCTCCAGAGGGGCCCTGCACGTGATTGCCTAAATAACCCTCAGGAGAAGGGGCCACAGGCTTTCAGGACCCACTTCCCGCCACCCTGTGGGAGCCTCATGCCGTCTGGTCCCTGGCCCTCTAGGTCTCACAGCCTCAGGCCTGCATCTCTGTTTCTCAGATGAGGACCCGGCAGCTCTGAACGGCCCAGTGACCAGGGGGCCCCATGTGGCTGTGACCTTGCCCACCCCAGCCCACCTGCCCAGGGAAGAGCGGCCGGTTGGTGGGGCTGTGGGAGAAGAGAAACATGTTGATGAAGTGGATGAGGATGCTGGGGGCGGAGGCGGCGCCGGCGACGGAGACGCGCAGCCACTTGTAGCAGACCAGGAAGACCAGGTAGCCGAACAGGCCCAGAAGGAAGACCAGCTCGGGCAGGGTCTCCAGCAGCAGCCGGTGCCACTGGCCGAAGTGCCTGGGGCGGGAGAAGGGCTGGGTCACCAGACCACACTGGCCCTGCGGCCCCCTTCCCCCCACCAGAGCCTGGGCTCTCACATGTGGTTGAAGACTCCTAGGACCACCCCAAAGGCCATGTGGGTGACCCCCAGGATGACGGACATCTTCATCTTGAAGGAGTTGAGGAAGCTCAGGTGGTTGACAGCCAGGCTCCAGATCTGAGGTGGCAGGAGGGGCAGGTGTCATGCAGGGGCCTCCCTGCCCTCGTCACTCTCATCAGCCTGTTTGTCCCCTTTGGGGCTCAGCCCCAGCTCTTCCTCACTGGGCCCCCTTGGGCAGGTGACCTCCTGTGAAACGGGCACATGCTAATGTACGCCTCGGGGGGCTGTCAGGTGAATGAAATACACAGTCATTGCACACAAAAGCCTCAGGACGGCGCCCGGCACACAGCAGGGGCCGCGGTGACCGTGCTGCCGCCACTAGGGCATGCCTCTGCTTTGTGGAGTGCTGCGGAGGTGCCCAGCAAGGAGGCCCCTCGTCTGTCCGGGGCCCGAGCACCCTGCGCCGGAACCGGCCGTCCTCCTGCCCGCCTGCAGCACCCAGGGCCAGTGACCGGGACTCACGGGGTCGATGCCAAAGGGGTAAGGTCCCAGGAAGACACCGGTGACGTTAGGGTCCAGGGCGAGCAGTGGGTGTTCGGCCAGGAACGTGTCACTGTGGCAACAGTGGGCAGGGTGGTCAGGGGAGCGGACACTGGGGAGCGGGACCCGGGGACCGTGGGGCAAGTGGGCTTCACCTCCAGCCGGACTGGTTGGCCATGGCGGCCACGCTCCAGCCCGAGGGGAAGATGACGGTGGCGCGGCTGAAGCACTCGTTGTAGATGAAGCCAGTGTAGACGGAGAACAGGCCCATGAGCAGCAGCAGGTAGCGGCCGTTGAAGAAGGTCCGCCAGATCTGGGGGTGGTGCCTGTGAGTCGGGGCCGGGCCACGCTGCCCGGCGCCCACCAGGCCCTGCCCGCACCCTCACCTCATTCTTCGCCGACTTCACGGCCGGCCTATCCTCAGCCAACACCATGGCCAGGGCGAAGAGGAACATGAGCAGCCCGTGGCCCACGTCTCCAAACATGACAGCGAAGAGGAAGGGGAAGGTGATGATGGTGTAGGGCGCTGCGGAAGGGGAACCATGCGGTCAGCCGGGCCCCCCAGCCAAATGCACAACCCTGCACAGGATGCCATGGGGGCCGGACCTGCAGAGCACCCTCTCCTTGTTCACCCCTTGCTGGCTCCCTTGAAAGCTTCATGGGGGGTGGGCTAGGATAAACACTACACCCCCCACTGCGCCCCAAGAGTGTGACAGAATGACAGGGAGTGCGCC